TCTGGCGACTACAGGGCTTCCAAAGTCCAAGGCCTCTGCCCCTGTCGCAGATATAGACTCTGAGCCCCAAGGTGGGTAGGGGTCTGTCTCAGAATATGTCCTATTATTTCAGGACCCAGCACCAAGCTCTGCTCCCAGCAGGTGCTCAGCCTGTGGGTGAATAATGGTGCCAAGCCCCTGACATCTTTCCTTCCAGCTTCTCCAGCCCATACACACCTGGATTCCTCCTTCTGCCTTCTCTGAGCCCCTTCGACCTGGCACTACGTGTCCTGTACAGACTACTGGGTTGACCTCTGTGCAGCTCTTGTGTCACTGCCCTGCTACCCCTGAGCCTGCGGGGGCTCCCTGGGACCGTCACGCCCATCCCTTCATCCACCTGTGCCACACGTGCAGTCACGTGGATACAGGGGTGCCTAGTCCCCAGCCTCAGGGAGCTCTAATCTAGTATTTATTCTTCCAGCTTTGTGCAAGGTGTTAAGAGGGACGTTAGAGTGCTAAGGCCAAATGCTCCACTCTAGGACCGTGCAGGACGGGTCTCCGGGTGCAGGTGGGCCTTAGACCCACCTAGTTCTCTCTCGTTTTTCACTTGTTAAAAACGATTATATAGTTAAAGAATATGCTGGGAATGCAATATCCTAAGATAGGGAGGGACTGGTTGCAACACCCCCAGGATCTATCTGTTCCACTCCCCTGAGCCCCAGAAATAGGGCAGCCTTCAAGGCTTTAGCCCAGCAAAGCATGTCACCTTGAAGTATAAAACCCAGGGTGAGCTGCTTTCTGGGGTCCCTCAGCAAGTGGGGCACATGTAGACAAGACTCTCTCTGCCCCAGACAACTTTCCTGAGCCTTGGGGGCCAGGCTCACAGTGGATCCTATGCTTCTGTTGTCCTTTGCTGCCCATCTTATATAACATAATAAACCCATTTTATATAACATGTATGTGTGGATATTCTGCCTCACTGGACTCAGACAAGTTGGTAACCAGTACATGGTGAGCCTGCCTCACATACTGGATGCTTCATATCACAGCCAGCCTAGCTTTTCAGCTGCTCTGACCATCGTATCCAATATGCTCGTCCCATGAGGCCCAGATGATGGCCCTCTCCACCGTCAGTCTTCATTCACCTTCTTTCCTATCTCTGTAACTTTTCTTGTGATGGGTCTGCTGCTGCCTGGCTGCTCTTTCTTTGCTTTGCTTTTTTTTTTTGGAGACGGAGTTTCATTCGTTGCCTAGGCTGGAGTGCAATGGCACGATCTCAGCTCACTGCAGCCTCTGCCTCCTGGGTTCAAGTGATTCTCCTGCCTCAGCCTCCCGAGTAGCCGGGACTACAGGCACCTGCCACCATGCCCAGCTAATTTTTTGTGGGTTTTTTTTTTTTTTTTTGAGACAAAGTCTCACTCTTGTCCCCCAGGCTAGGGTGCGATGGTGCAATCTCAGCTCACTGCAGCCTCTGCCTCCCGGGTTCAAGTGATTCTCCTGCCTTGGCCCCCTGAGTAGCTGGGATTATAGATGCCTGCCACCATGCCTGGCTAATTTTTTTGTATTTTTAGTAGAGACAGGATTTCCCCATGTTGGCCAAGCTGGTCTCGAACTCTAACCTCAGGTGATCCACCCGCCTCGGCCTCCCAAAGTGCTCGGATTACAGGCGTGAGCCACCGCACCCATCCCTGGCTACTCCCCTTTCTACTCCCTGGCTCTGTCTGTATTCCGTTCCCTCTGTATAGTCTAATACCAGTCCTCCCTCTCCAGAAAGCTACCCAGTGGTCCCAGGGGTCCTCTGAGTGCCTGCAGGACTTCCTGTCCAGGACTCTCATCTCTTGTGGTGCCACCAGCTCAGCTGCATCCTCCAGAGCAGGGAGCAGGAGCCCTCCCCGGCTTTCCTTGTCCTTTCCCTCCAAGCACTGGGCCTGGTATGCCACAGAGACTCAGTATGTACTTGCGGAGCCAAATTGTGCCCTCTCCTCTTCTCCCGCACAGTATCCAGCCCACTCTGTGCATGGGGTAGGGATGGGGGAAAAGGTGGAAACACACAGGCAAGGAATAGTTCTTATTTCTCTCTCTCTCTCTTTTTTTTTTTCCAAGACAGAGTCATGCTCTGTTGCTCAGGATGGAGTGCAGTGGTGCGATCTTGGCTCACTACATCCCCTACCTCACAGGTTCAAGCGATTCTCCTGCCTCAGCCTCCTGAGTAGCTGGGACTACAGGCACACGCCACCATGCCTGACTAATTTTTGTATTTTGGCCAGGCAGGTCCTGAACCCCTGACCTCAGGTGACCCACCCGCCTCGGCCTCCCAAAGTGCTGGGATTATAGGCATAAGCCACCGCATCCAGCCTAGTTCCTATTTCTCATCTGATTTCTCACCAGTTCAGAGAGGTACCTTGTCTTATTCCCATCCATTCATTTATTCAACACATTCCTGTTGAGTACCTACCACGTGCTGGGCATTGTTTGAGGCACAAAGCACAGAGGGTAAGTCAACTAGCGAGGCTGCCCTCAGGGAGCTTGCATTCTAGATGATGAATAGGTTGACAACTTAAAGATCATGTCAGAGGGAGAAAGTACTACAAAGACAATAAAACAGGGCCATGTGATAGGCTGAGTGTGGCTGACAGGTTCCTTGAGATCGGCTGGCCAGGGAAGGCCTTGTGGAAAAACTGATGTCGAAATTGAAAAGTGAATGACTCAAAAGTTAGCCATTAGACTGTCTATGGGGAGGAGTTCAGGCACAGGCACACTCAAAGGCCCTGAGGTGAGACTAGGCTTAGTATATTCAAAGGCTGGAGGTCAGACCAGAGTGGTTAGACGTAGGGCTTTATGGATCTTGGTGAAGATTTTGGATCTTATTCTAAGAAGATGAGGCTTGGACTAGGGTAATGAAAGAGGGGGTGGAAGGAAGGGACGGATTCAGGATTTATTTTGTAGGTAGCACTAAACAGGGCTTGTTGACACATGTGAAAGGATTATCGAGGGAAAAGGAGGAATCACGTGATTTTGAGCTGGGTTGCATGAGCCCCTTGGGTGAGAAAGGCAGTGTCTGGACTGAAGAAGACTACTGTGGTCACGTTTGAGAAGTGAATTAGCCAGCCAGAGGGAATTCAAGTAGACCATTGTATATATGAACATGGAATTTAAAGGCAAGGTCTATGGCTGGGCGCGGTGGCTCACGCCTGTAATCCGAGCACTTTGGGAGGCCGAGGCGGGCGGATCACCTGAGGTAAGGAGTTCGAGAGCAGCCTGGCCAAAATAGTGAAACCCCGTCCCTACTAAAAATACAAAAATTAGCCAGGTGAGGTGATGCGTGCTTGTAATCCCACCTACTTGGGAGGCTGAGGCAAGAGAATCGCCTGAATCTCAGAGACAGAGGTTGCAGTGAGCTGAGACTGCACCACTGCACTCCAGCCTGGGCAACATTGACACTCTAGCCTGTGTCAATTAAAAAAAAAAAGGCAAAGTCTCATCTGAAGATGTGGATTTGGGAATCATTAGAGGGACTGAATGAGATCATCCAGGCAGAGAATGGAGATGGGAGACCAGAGCGTGGAGCCCCGAGGGTGGAGAAGATGAGGAGGAACTAGGGAGGGAGACTGGGAAGGAGTCGCTAGTGACATGGGAGGAGAACCAAGCTGGGGCTGTCACAGAGCCTGCAGAAGGCAGCATTGAGAAGAAGAGAGGGAGCCTCTGTGTCTTCTGCTGTTTCAAGGTGGGCTCTGTAAGGACAGAGCTTTTCCATTTGATAAGCCAGATGGAGATTATGGAGACCCCGATAAAAGCTCTCATATGGGGACGTGTTGAGAAAAGTCAAGCGGAGGAGGTGAGGGGGACAATTATTGAGGGACGGTGCTGCAAAGGGGAGCAAAGAAAGATGGCTTTTGATGTCGGGCATGGTGGTGCACGCCTGTAGTCCCAGCTACTCAGGAGGCTGAGACTAGCTTGAACCCGGGAGGTGGAGGTTGCAGTGAGCCGTGATCACACCACTGCACTCCAGCCTGGGCAACAGAGATTCTGTCTCAAAAAAAAAAAAAAAAAAAAAAGGAAAAAAAATAAAGAAAGGCAGCTTTTGATATTGTGGAGGCTAAGCCATGTTTGTATGCTGATGGAATCATCCTGTAGTAATGCAGAGGGGGATCATGTGGTGGGGGAGGGGACAAGAGCTAATGAATAAATGGGGAGACAGCCATGGGACCTGGGGCCCATCTTCACAGCTCCCATTGCAGCCAAATCAAGGCAGGGAGTGTGGTGGGTTTGGGAATGCTTCTTCTCATCTGATGCTTCTGTTTGTTTGTCAGTGACACACGGGTGAGATGAGGGGCGTGGGGGATGCTGTTGTGAAATGATGACCTGGAACAGAGGGGAGGGCGATGTGGCCATGGAAAAGTGAGACTTGCCGGCAGCATCAGACATGAGTGGTTACTGCTTGAAAGTGAAACCCATCAATAAGACAGGATGTTCTCCAGCCCGCGTTGAGCTGCTTAACATGGGTACAAGGCTGGGTGGGTTTAGCCAGGGTGGGGTTTGCCAATGAACACAGCAGGATGAGACAGGGCAGGTGCTGGCAGGGCATGCTAGTGACTGTGTATTTGCAGGTTGCCCGGTCAGGTCAAAGAACTAGGAAGTGGCAGAGCCGGGGGAGGGGAGGGTGTCTGGGAGAGGTTGGGGAAGCCTCCCAGGTGTTCAGGGACACTTTGGATTGTGTGGCTGTGGCTGAGGGCAAATGGGTGGAAGAAATCCATGCTGATGTGGAAGAAGCCACCACCTGGGATGAACCCAAGGGCTCCAGAGTGTAAGAGCATTCTTGACGCCCACTCAGAATACACACACAGACACAACACACGTGTGCACATCCATGTGCACTTTCACACAGCCACACACACCTTCCTCAGTTTGACTCCAAATAGGGGTTTGATGTGCCATATCTGCCTCTGCCCTCTTCCTCTTCCTGATCCCCCCTGCCCTACCCCTACACAGCCCGTCCCCATCCCCATTATGGCCCTACTTACTGGTGGAGGAAGAGGCCCCGGTGCTGGCTGGGTCTCCACAGCCTCACCCCTGAATAGAGGAGAAACCCGCAGGTGGGGGAAGGGCTCAGCTGAAGGTTTGCCCCCCTCCCCTCCCCTCTCAGCCCCGAGGACACCCAGTTCCACCCCAGCCTCATCTCCTTGGCCTTCTCATCTCAGGGGGCTCCTTATTTCCCCACATCCTCATGTACACAGGCTCACAGAACCAAGCATTCTGGTATTCCAGCCGTTACACAGGTGGGGAAATTGAGACCCAGGGGAGCATGACCTGCCCAAGGTCCTCTACCGAGTCAGGAGCAGTCTGGACTAGAATTCACCTCACCTGAAACTCAGCAGAAGGGCATCCTTGTTGGGGGCAGGGGATGGCACTGGAGGGTGACTTACCCTCCTTTTGTTTTTGTAGGTCCAGGCATGGATGGCAGGAAGGAGCTAGCTGTCTTTTCCTCTGGAGCCACCGTGGACGTTGGGGGCATTGCTTCCTGAGAGCTGTCCCCATGTCCCCCTGGGCTGGGCTCTGGCGGAGCCTCCTGTGGCCTGATGTGTGGGACATCTGCCTCCTTGGGGCGCTTGTCTCCCAGTGGCTGGCCACGGCCGGCCAAGGGGCAGCAAGGCTCTGCTGGCTGCACCACGTCTGCCTGGTGACCGAGGGTGCATTGATATCCGGGGCCCTGCCGAGGACAAGGACACTAAGGCTGGGGAGCTCCATCCTGGTTCCCAGGTGAACCTCAAAGCTCCAGGTGAACTGGAGACCAGTAATGACACACTTACTAGGATCCCAGCACTTCAGGCATCATCTTACTTAATTCTCCCAGTGCTCCTAGAAGGCAGCACAGGTACTCCTACACTTTGAGGGGTGAAGAAATTGAAGCCCAGAGAAGGCGCGGCCTACCCAAAGAACCACACTTCCCTGTGGGAGTGGAATGAGAGCATGGAAAATTGAGAAGATCCCCTTTAAATAGGATTTTCTTGTGTGTGTGTGTGTGTGTGTGTTTTATTTTTTTCTCTTTTTTGAGACAAGTCTCACTCTGTCACCCAGGCTAGAGTACAGTGGCATGAACACAGCTCATTGCAGCCTTAACCTCCTAGGCTCAAGGGATCCCCCTGCTTCAGCCTCCCAAGTAGCTGGGACTACAGATACCTGTCACCATGCCTGGCTGATATTTTTAAATGTTTGGTAGAGATGAGGTCTCACTATGTTGCTCAGACTGGTCTTGAACTCCTGGGCTCAAGCATTCCTCCTGCCTCAGCCTCCCGAAGTGCTGGGATTACAGGCATGAGCCACCACACCCAGCCTTAAATGGGATTTTCTAAGGGATGTTTCAAAGAACAAGAATCCTTCACGAGGCTCCTTAAAAAGAGGGGTTTTGGCCAGGCGTGGTGGTACACACCTGCAATCTCAGAATTTTGGGAGGCCGAGGGGCAGGTGGATCACTTGAAGTCAGGAATTCATGACCAGCCTGGCCAATATGGCGAAATTCCGTCTCTACTAAAAATACAAAATTAGCTAGGCATGGTGGCTCATGCCTGTAATCCCAGCTACTTGGGAGGCTGAGGCATGGGAAACACTTGAACCCAGGAGGCGGAGGTTGCAATAAGCCATGATCACACCACTGCACTCCAGCCTGGGAGACAGAGTGAGACTCTGTCTCTTAAAAAAATAAATAAATAAAGGCCTAAGTGGGTGGATCACATGAGGTTAGGAGTTCGGGACCAGCCTGGCCAGCATGGTGAAACCCTGTCTCTACTAAAAATACAAAAATTAGCTGGGCGTAGTAGTGTGTGCCTGTAATCCCAGCCACTCAGGAGACTGAGGTGGGAGGATCACTTGAACCTCCCACCTCAACCTCCCACCTGAGGCAGAGGTTGCAGTGAGTCCAGATCACACCACTGCATTCCAGCCTGGGCAACAAGGCAAGACTCTATGTCCAAACAAAAAGAAAGAAAAGAAAACAAAGAAAAGAAATGTGGTATATTGTGGTATATCCATAGAATGGAAATATTACTGAGCAACCAAAAGAACAACATGTTGATACACACAATACACGAATCTCTTTCTTTTTCTCTCTCTTTTTTTTTTTTTTGAGACAGAGTCTTGCTCTGTCCTTCAGGCTGGAGTGCAATGGTGTGATCTTGGCTCACTGCAACCTCTGCCTCCCGGGTTCAAGTGATTCTCCTGCCTCAGCCTCCCGAGTAGCCGAGATTACATGCGCCTGCTACCATGCCCGGCTAATTTTTATTTTTATTTATTTATTTTTTTGAGATGGAGTCTTGCTCAGTTGCCCAGGCTGGAGTGCAGTGGCGTGATCTCGTCTCACTGCAAGCTCCGCCTCCCGGGTTCACGCCATTCTCCTGCCTCAGCCTCCTGAGTAACTGGGACTACAGGTGCCCACCACCACGCCCGGCTAATTTTTTTTTTTTTTTTTGAGACGGAGTCTCGCTCTGTTGCCCAGGCTGGAGTGCAGTGGCACAATCTCAGCTCACTGCAAGCTCCTCCTCCCGGGTTCACGCCATTCTCCTGCCTCAGCCTCCTGAGTAGCTGGGACTACAGGCGCCCTCCACCATGCCTGGCTAATTTTTTTGTATTTTTAGTAGGAGACGGGGTTTCACTGTGTTAGCCAGGATGGTCTCGATCTCCTGACCTCGTGATCTGCCCGCCTCGGCCTCCCAAAGTGCTGGGATTATAGGCGTGAGCTACCGCGCCTGGTCTTTTTTTTTTTTTAAATATTTTTGGTAAAGACGGGGTTTCACCATGTTAGCCAGGATGGTCTCGATCTCCTGACCTTGTGATCCACCCACCTTGGCCTCCCAAAGTGCTGGGATTAACAGGCGTGAGCCACCACGCCCGGCCTGGAAACAAGACTTAAATGCTTGTGATGTAGGCTGGGGGAATAGTCCAGTGACCCACAGACTGAGTGCTTGACATCTTCAGGGCACAGAGGGGAGCAAACACTCTGTAACCCAGGCTGGAGTGCAGTGGCCTGAACACAGCTCATTGCAGCCTTGACCTTCTGGGCTCAAGGGATCCCCCTGCCTCAGCCTCCCAAGTAGCTGGGACTACAGGTACATGCACCAGAATGGAGGGCATGCTGGGAGGGGGCTCTTTTACCTCCTCTGTGGTAGGTCATTCCATACCCTTCTTCCCAGATCTCCTAGGAGGGTACCTGGCAGCTCTCAGGAGGCTCATCCTCCCCGGTTCCCCGGTTCCGTTGCCTCCTCTGCTGGCCCTCGATCTCCTTTCCGGAGCCCAGCTGCTGCAGCCCTTCAGGTCCTTCAGGAACCCAGGAAGGCAGCAACCCTAGCTCACTCTGATCCTGGCCTGCTTGCAGCTCCTGGGACCCTTCCTGGGGGACCCAAGAGGACTGCTTCTTCCTGGAGAAAATAGACAAAGTGACACTTCAGCTCCCAGACTGGGGCACTGTTCTATGTTCTTATAGGGTTAGGCATACCATAGGTGCATACCTAACGCCTGGAGGGACAAATGGAGGACCCACAGGAATTCCCCAAATCATAGATACTTTCATGTCAATGTTTTGGGGAGTTAAAATTTAAACTTTCAAAATTATTTGTAGAGACAAGGTCTCACTGTGTTGCCCAGGCTGGTCTTGAACTCCTGGGCTCAAGCAATCTTCCCACTTCGGCCTCCCGAAGTGCTGGGATTAGAGGTGTGCACCATTGCGTCCAGCCTAGAATTTAAGGCTTATAGTATTTTTAAAATTATTTTTCAGAAAAAAATGAAACAAAAATCAGAACTGGGATGCAGAGAAGACAAGAGATTTGAGCTTAAGGTCATAAAGCTAAAGATAACTGTTCAAAATTTGAAGCTGTGTCTATCCGATCTCACTTTAGTATTCTGGAGTATTTCCTCCAAGCTTCTTCCTATGCATATGTATACTTATATTTTTTGAGACAGAGTCTTGCTCTGTCACCCAGGTTGGAATGCAGTGGCATGATCTCAGCTCACTGCAACCTCCACCTCCTGGGCTCAAGCAATCCTCCTGCCTTAGGCTCTCAAGTAGCTGAGACTACAGGCATATGCCACCGTGCCTGGCTAATCTTACCATATTTTTTGTAGAGATGGGGTTTCACAATGTTGTCCAGGCTGGTCTTGAACTCCTGGGCTTAAGTAATCCTCCCACTTCAACCTCCCAAAGTGTTGAGATTACAGGCGTGAACCATGGTGCCTGGCCATTGCATACATATATATACATACACACACACACACACACACACACACACACATATATTTTGTTTTTTCTTTGAGATGGAATTTCGCTTTTGTTGCCCAGGCTGGAGTGCAGTGGTGTGATCTCGGCTCACTGCAACCTTTGCCTCCTGGGTTCAAGTGATTCTCCTGCCTTAGCCTCCCAAGTAGCTGGGATTACAGGCATGTGCCACCAAGCCCGGCTAATTTTATATTTTTAGTAGAGACGGGGTTTTGCCATGTTGGCCAGGCTGGTTTCAAATCCCTGACCTCAGGTGACCCTCCCACCTTGACCTCCCAAAGTTCTGGGATTGCAGGTGTGAGCCACTGTGGCTGGCCTAGTCTACTTTCTTCAATTAACATCATAGCCTACATTTTTCCCATGCTAAAAATCCTTCAGAAACATGCTTTATATGTTTTTTACGTTCATTAAATGTATACAATTCCATATTTTATAGATAACCATCATTAACCATTTCCCTATTGTGTGGGCGCTTCAGGGGTTTCCAATTTTTTAGTATTTATTTATTTTTTTGTAGTTTTAGTAGAGGCAGGGTTTCACCATGTTGGCCAGGCTTCTCTTGAACTCCTGACTTCAGGTGATCCACTCACTTCGGCCTCCCAAAGTGCTGGGATTACAGGCATGAGCCACTGCACCCGGCCCAATTTATTAGTATTTAAGATAATGTGACAGTGAAAATCTTTGTGCATAAAACTGCCTGAATCACCAATTATTTCCTCATGGCCTATTTCCAGAAATGGGTGAGGATAAAGGTAGTTTCAAGGCAGTTTAAACAAATTGCCACGTTGATGAAACAGGTATGCCTAAATGGTTTCTGTTTCCACCAGCATGGTAGGCAGTAGTTGTCTCAGTGGGCCTTGGACCTGGCTTGAGTTCTCTCTCCTAACTTTTCTTGTACAGGAGGCTATTTAGGAGCTTCTGGTTATAGTCAAATCCAACTAAGCCAGCTAGCCTTTATTATTTCTATTACCCAAGCCTTTCACGTTGCCTTCTTTGGCTCGCTCTTGATTTTCTCTTTTTGAATATATTCTTGCTGTAGAAAAGGTTTAAAATATATACAAAATTTAGAAAACAATTACGTGTATATCTTTTATGTGTTCCTGTGTTTCCCAACCTTTTTTTTGTTCATTATTCTATTAATTCAGTGAATCTATCTATCTATCTATATATATATGTATTTTTTTTTTTTTTTCTAAGACAGTCTCGCTCTGTCACCCAGGCTAGAGTACAGTGGCGTGATCTCGGCTCACTGCAAGCTCCGCCTCCTGGGTTCACGCCATTCTCCTGCCTCAGCCTCCCGAGTAGAGTAGCTGGGACTACAGGCACCCACCACCACGCCTGGCTAATTTTTTGTATTTTCAGTAGAGAGGGAGTTTCACTGTGTTCACCAGGATGGTCTCGATCTCCCGACCTCGTGATCCGCCCACCTCGGCCTCCCAAAGTGCTGGGATTACAGGCGTGAGCCACTGCGCCCGGCCTTAGTGAATCAATATTTATAGAACATTTACTACGTGTCAGGCATAGTACTAGGCACGAGGGCTTTGAGGCTGAACCAGGTACATGATACTCCTCAAACAAGACACATAAAAGATGTTTGTGGTCTTGTTGGGGGAGTTCAGACAAAAGGTGAACACGAACTCCTTAGTGCAACCGGTGCAGTGAAAGAGAAGGACAAGGTGCTGTGGCAGGTGGAGCTGCCTTGGCCTGGGAGTGCTCCATTCTCTCTCCCTCGCAAGTGGGCTACAGGGCGTTGTCTCCTGGACCTGTTCTCTGGAAAGCCCCTCAGCTCACCCTGGTTTTGCTGGAGGCCTCTGCTCCTGTGTCCTGAGCTCTGAAGGCCCCTCCTTGAATGTGTCTCTGTATCTGGGCCCCTTCTCTGGCCCTCCTGAAGCTGATGAGAGCTGCTTCCTGCTGCCCACTTCCGAAGCATCTGGAAACATGACCTGGACAGAGATATCCATGGCACTGGCTTGAGGGCTGGCATTGAGTAGCCATTCTGGAGTGATCCCTCCCACTCGTCCCTGGGCACTCTCCTGGCCTCAAGGACAGGGAGATCCCATGCCTGACTGGGGAAGCTGTTGGAGAGGGGTGAGCAGGAGCCAAGAGGCAGAGATGGGGGCTGGCCCTGCTGTTGCTGTTGCTTAGCACTTAAGGCTCTGGTATGAACTGGAGTCCAGATTAGTACCTGAGACAAGGGGATTGCCCTGAGGACAGCTTGAAAGAGCACCCTGGGGGACCCCAAGACTCTCACAAGGTCCAAGAGAGGCCTTTGACAATTCCCATGCCTTCAAAACACAGGCTGTAGTTTGAACTGAGTTTCTATTTCATTTTTTGAGAGAGAGTTTCACTCTGTTGCCCAGGCTGGAGTGCAGTGGTGAGATCTCGGCTCACTGCAACCTTCACCTGCTGGGTTCAAGCGATTCTCGTGCCTCAGCTTCCCGAGTAGGTGGGATTAGAGGTGTGTGCCACCATGCCCAACTAATTTTTGTATGTTTTTTTTTTTTTGTAGGCCAGGCCGGTCTCAAACTTCTGACCTCAAGCGATCCACCCGTCTCAGCCTCCCAAAGTGCTGGGCTTACAGGCATGAGCCACCGTGCCTGGCCTGAACTGGGTTTTGATCACTATCATGGTCTGTCACTCTCCAACTGGGTGACCTGGAGCCAGTGATTGAGACCCAGCTCCAAGCATCACCAGAGTCAGCAAATTCCAAACAAATTAATTGCCCTTGATATAATACAAGATTCTGATGTGAGCTAATACTAACAGGCACCTACTATGAGGCAGGGCCTGTGCTAGGTGCCTTCTAGGGATTTGACCCAGTTAGTCCTCACCGTAAAACAAATGAGGCTCAAAGGGGTGCAGTGACATGCCCAATGTCATACAGCTGGGTAAGTGGTGGGACTGGGACCCCATGACGATGCTTGTTGAAAAAATAAATGGGTGGGTGAAGGCAGCCCTGAATGTTCACCTCTAGCCTCTCTCCTAGTCTCCTCTTCCTAGCTTCCTGTCCTAGTCTCCTCCCTCCAGGCCCTCTCCCTGCCCCAGGGGAAGCGAGGATTTATAACAGAGGCTACAGGGAACATACCCAAAGGCATGTTGACTTTTTTTTGTTGTTGTTTTTTTTCTTGTCCTTTTTGTGGAGAACGGGGTCTCGCTATATTGCCCAGGCAGGTCTCAGACTCCCGGACTCAAGCTATCCTCCTACCTCTGCCTCCCTAAATGCTGGGATCACAGGTGTGAGCCAGTGCACCTGGCCTTTTTTTTTTTTTTTTTTTCTGAGAGGGGGTCTCACTGTGTTGCCCAGGCTGGTCTTTAACTCCTGGGCTCAAGCAATCTGCCCACTTCTGTCTCCCAAAGTGTTGGGATTGCAGGCATGAGCCACGGCACCTGACTGACTTTTCATTTTAATTAATTAATTTGTTTGTTTATTTATTTTTGAGACAGAGTTTCACTCTTGTTGCCCAGGCTGGAGTGCAATGGTGCAGTCTCTGCTCACCGAAACCTCCACCTCCCAGGTTCAAGCGATTCTCCTGCCTCAGTCTCCCGAGTTACTGGGATTACCGGCATGCACCACCATGCCAGGCTAATTTTGTATTTTTAGTAGAGACTGTGTTTCTCCATGTTGGTCAGGGTGGTCTTGAATTCCCGACCTCAGGTGATCCACCCACCTCAGCCTCCCAAAGTGCTGGGATTGTAGGCATGAGCCACCATGCCCGACTGGCTGATTTTTTAAATGGTGATATCTTTGGCCCTGAGGAAACTGGATGGGGAGGAGGCTCTTCTTTACGCTCTTCAGTTCATGCTACTTGGTACATTCAAAAAGAGGCTGGCAGGGCGCGGTGGCTCACACCTGTAATCTTAGCACTTTGGGAGGCCGAGGTGGGTGGATCAGTTGGGGTCAGGAGTTTAAGACCAGCGTGTCCAACATGGTGAAATCCCATCTCTTCTAAAAATACAAAAAAATTAGATGGAAATCGTTTGAACCCAGGAGGCAGAGGTTGTAGTGAGCCGTGATCACACCATTGCACTCTAGTCTGGGTGACAGAACAAGACTCTTGTCTCAAAAAAAAAAAAAAAAAAAAAAAACAAAACAAAACGCTGGGCATGGAGGCTTACACCTATAATCCCAACACTTTGGGAGGCTGAGGCAGGCAGATCACTTGAGCCCATGAGTTCAAGACCGGCCTGGGCAACATGATAAAGCCTTGTCTCTACAAAAAAATAAAAAATTAGCTTGGTGTGGTGGCACATACCACGCCTATAGTTCCAGCTACTCAGGAGGCTGAGGCAGGGGGATTGCTTGAGCCTAGGAGTTCAAAGCTGCAGTGAGCCATGATCATGCCACTGCACTCCAGCCTGGGTGAGAGAGTGAGAGCCTGTCTCAAAAACAAACAAACAAACAAACAAAGAAACATATTTGATGGAAAGAGGCTGAGAGGTGTGATGGAAGCTTAGGATGCAGGCTGGGCGCTGTGGAGGGGCATGGAGGGAAGCCCTGAGTAGCTGTCAGGAGAATAAAGCTGGGCTGGAGGCTGCAACGGGAGTTCGGAGGCCATGGAAGGCACCTAGAAGAGCAAGTAGGCAATTCTGGGTTTGCTCACCCTGTAGCTCTTTCCGTTACAGAAGCCAGCATTGTTTTTGGGAAGCTTCTCTTCTCCATTCAGCCCATGGGGCTCAGTGGAGCCACCTATCACCTCTGTCTCCATTGTATCAAGAGATCCAGACCACTCCCCACTGCCGTGGTGACTGGTTCGAGGGTGAGCATCTGACCACAATCTGGGCCAATGACAGTGATGCTAGAGACTTGCTTCAACTATTGCAAAGAGGCTCACTTCCTGTTGGAATGCTAAACCAGAGTATGTAAGATGGGAAGATGTAATCCTGGAGTGGCCAGGGCAATCCCTGCCATCTTGCAGGGAGAGCTTGCCTGAGAATGAATCCAACACAGAGCAACATAGAGCCAAGAGAGCCATTTAGCACCTTGATCTAGCCACACCTGAAGTCTATGAATGCATTTGTCAGTTACCCAAACTGATGTATTCTCTTTTCTGCTTAATCCAGTTTGAATTGGGTTTTGTGTCCATTTTTAACAGAGCCTTAATTAAAGCAGCTGGGGAGGAAGCCTGGGCAGGGGAAGGGAAAGGTGCCAGCTAGGAGTGAATGGATCAGAACATTGGGTACAGGTCCCTACCTGGCTGACTCCTGGTATGGTAGGTTCAACACCAGCCCGCTTTATGGTGATCCTCAGGCCAGGGCTTGGCTGGGTCCCTGGAACCTTGATTCTACCCTCTGTGTACATCTGGGTGTTTCTATTGTCCATGATGCCAGGGCCAACACAGCTGCCAAGGGAGGGGCATCAGCTACTGTGCTCCTACAGGAGAAATCCAGTCAAGCTTCCCACCAAGCCCATCACCTAACTGCTGCTTCAGGAGCCCATGTGGAGCCTGTAATGTAGACAGCGTGGCTGGTGGGAAGAGGCGGGGCCAGGCCTCGCAAGGAGAGGCATGCCTCAAAACCAGAGAGCTAGCCACGTGCCATTTACCCACATGCGTTTCCTAGTTCTCACAATGACCCTGAGGAAAAGGGGCTCTGGAAGGCACAAGACTTGCCCAAGATCCAACACCTGCTAGGTTGCAGACGAAGATTTGAACTATGGCCTGTTGAATCCCAAAACCCAGGCACTTTCCCCGTCTGCGACATTTCCTAAAGGATATTCTTTGGCATACTGGTCCCTTGAGATGCTCCATGGGGTTCCAAGGCTAAATGCCTTTGGAAAGTGCTGTGATAAGCAAAATGATACAGGCTCTTTCCTGTACAACTTCTCAGAGCCTTTAGAATACTAATATGCCTTTTAAAGAGAGTCCAAGAATGTCACAGCTGCTCCTGCTATAGATGAAAACTCTATGTTCTTAAATGGAGCTAAGGAACAGGAACTGGGGACATCTGTCCATCTGTCTCAGGGCCCCAAGGTCTCCAGTGGCAATCTGCAGTTCACCAAAGCACCCACACCCTGCCCTGGACACATCCTTTCTTTTTCTTTTCTTCTTCTCTTTTTACTATTATTATTTTTTTTTGAGACAGAGTCTCGCTCAGTGGCCCAGGCTGGAGTGCAATGGCGCGATCTAGGCTCACTGCAACCTCCGCCTCCTGGGTTCACGCCATTCTCCTGCCTTAGCCTCCATAGTAGCTGGGACTATAGGCGCCTGCCGCAACGCCTGGCTAATTTTTTGTATTTTTAGTAGAGATGGGGTTTCACCATGTTAGCCAGGATGGTCTTGATGTCCTGACCTCATGATCCGCCCGCCTCGGCCTCCCAAAGTGCTGGGATTACAGACGTGAGCCACCGCGCCTGGCCTTCTTCTTCTTTTTGTTTTTTTTTGTTTTGTTTTGTTTTTTGTTTGTTTGTTTTGAGACAGAGTCTTGCTCTGTTGCCCAGGCTGGAGTGCAGTGGTGTGATCTTGGCTCACTGCAACCTCTGCCTACCGGGTTCAAGCAATTCTCCTGCCTCAGCCTCCCTAGTAGCTGGGATGATAGGCGGCCGCCACCATGCCCGGCTAAGTTTTGTATTTTTAGTAGAGATGGGGTTTCACCAGGTTGGCCAGACTGGTCTTGAACTCCTGACCTCAGTGATCCACCCGCCTCAGCCTCCCAAAGTGTTGGGATTACAGGGGTGAGCCACTGCACCTGACCATTTCTAAAGGCTTTCTTACTGTCTCTCCTCCACCTCTTTCATCCAACCTCATATTCAGCTGTGCCACCACTCCCTACACAAATTTTCTGTTTTAATCCAGGCAGGCTCCTGCAATCCTAGTCCCACAGATCCCAGCCTCTGTGCCCACCTCCCATTTTTTCTATCTTTCTAATAGCCCCCAACCCAGTCTTCAAGCTCCTCCCTCTTCTCCAAGTTTCCAACCATCTCAGCTCTCTCTCCAGCCACTGAATTCCTTTGAGGCAACATCAGCGCCATTTCTATGGGTACATGGATCCCCTTTCACTGTTAACTAGTTTCCAGGAGTAAATCCTAACCCCACACCCCTTCCTCCCATAGTGAGACCGTATGACCTTGAAGATCTTGATGGTGCTTCTTCCACTTTATATCACGGCAGGCCCGCCAGCATCCATGGAGGAATCTTCTATGTGCTGGAAATCTTTGTAAACAGTATTCTAACAGCCCCTGTGAGGTCAGTGGGTTCAGCCCTGTTTTAAAGATAGGGAAATTAAGGCTCCGAGCAATGTCTTGTCCAATACCACAAGGCCAGTCTGCAGAGGAACTGGATTCAAACCCAGGCCTGTCTGCCTCCCACGGCTGCCCATCTCACCATATCATTTTGTCTACAAAGAATGTCTACATTCATTTCCTCGTGCAATCAATAACCATTTAATGACATGTGCCCGTGCTAGGGACGTCAGGCCTTGGGGGATACACTGGGTGTCCTGACGGTTCCCACAGTTTACCAGGGACACAGAGGAGGTGCACTTAATAGCTGCTGACCCAAGTCCCCACTTCCTCTTCCTGTCTTCCAGGTCCTTCCTGCAGTTAGAGCTGCACCCCTACCATGCAAACCAGACCTCAGCTGGTTTGGTGGGGTGACCTCCCACCCCCGGTGCAGCTCTGGCCTCACAAAGGACCAGGCTCTCACCTGGAGCAGAAAAGTCAGGGCTGTGGCCAAGTCCTTCTCTCTTCCCTTGGAGTTCCTTGCCCCTCCCCAGCCTCTTTCCCATTAGGGTTCCCCTAACCTTTCCTGCTTCCTCTGAGTCTTCCTGTCTCAGGGGTGGATGAACCACCTAGGGAAAATCTCCCCCCACGCCCCTCAAACACCCCCGCTATTATCCATTGTCTCTGCCTGAGAATGTGCAGGCTCAGACTTGGACTTCTCAGGCCTCAGTATTCCACAAACTGGAAGTTTTACTGAAGTTTTACTGGAGCCCAGAGGGGTTCCAGCCCCCATCTGTCCACATCTGGAGCTTGCTAACTGTGAGAAGCTAGACAACGAGGGGACGCCCCAATGCTAGTTAGAGGGGCTTGGAATCCAAGGGCAGAACAGGGAGAGAAGTTGACAAATATCGACTATGTCTCCCTTTCAGATCACTTGGGACCCTTTTTTGTTCACAGCTGTATTGAAATTTAACTCACATATCATACAATTCACCCATTTAAAGTGTTACAATTCAATGGCTTTTAGGATATTCACAGAGTTGTGCAACCCTCGCCCTAATTCTAGAATATTTCTATCACCCCAAAAAGAAACCCCACACCCCTTGGCCATCATCCCTAATCTTCCCACCCCAAACCCAGCCCTAGGTAACCACTGATCTACTTTCTGTCTTAGTGGATTTGTCTATTCTGGACATTCCATATAAATGGAATCATACAATATGTGGTCCTTGGTGACTAGCTTCTTTCACTTAACATCATGTTTTCAAGGTTCATCCATGTTGTAGCACATATCAGAATTTCATTCCTTTTTGTGGTTGAGTAATATTTCACTGTATGGATATACCCCATTTTGTTTATCCATTCATCAGTAGATAGAAATTTGGGTTGTTTCTTTTTTTTTCCTTTTTTTTTTTGAGACAGGGTTTTGCTCTGTCACTCAGGTTGGAGTGCAGCAGTGCAATCATAGCTTACTATAGCCTCAAACTCCCGGGCTCAAGTGATCCTCCCACCTCAGCCTCTGAGTGGCTGGCTGGGACTAGAGATGCATGCCACCATGTCTCACTCGTCTTAAAATTTTTAAAATTTTAAATAGAGGCGAGGTCTCATTAGGTTGCCCAGGCTGCTCAAAGTCCTGAGCTTAAGTGATCCTCCCACCTTGGCCTCCCAAACTGCTGGGATTACAGGTGTGAGCCACCATGCCTGGACTGTTTCCACATTTTAGCTATTATGAATAATGCTGCTATGAACATTCATGTACAAGTTTTTATATGAACATACATTTGCATTTCTCTTGGGTATGTAGCTAGGAGTGGAATTGCTGAGTCATATGTCAACTCTATGTTTAGCTTTTTAGTAATTGCCAGACTTTCTCAAAGTGGCTGTATCATTTTACCTTCTTACCAGCAGCATATGAGTGTTCCAATTTTTCTGCATCTTCTTTTTTTTTTTTTTTTTTTTTGAGACGGAGTCTCGCTGTGTTGCCCAGGCTGGAGTGCAGTGGCGTGATCTCGGCTCACTGCAAGCTCCGCTTCCCGGGTTCACGCCATTCTCCCACCTTAGCCTCCCAAGTAGCTGGGACTACAGGCACTTGCTACCACGCCCGGCTAGTTTTTCTTGTATTTTTAGTAGAGGCGGGGTTTCACTGTGTTAGCCAGGATGGTCTCGATCTCCTGACCTCATGATCCACCCGCCTCGGCCTCCCAAAGTGCTGGGATTACAGGCTTCAGCCACCGCGCCCGGCCACTGCATCTTCTCCAACACTTGTTATTATCTGTCTTTTTATTTTTTATTTTTTGAGACAGGGTCTTGCTCTATCACAGAGGATGGAGTGCAGTGGTATGATCATAGCTCAATGCAAACTCCGACTCTGGGGTTCAAGGGATGCTTCCACCTTAGCCTCCTGAGTAGCTGAGAGTACAGGTGCACACCACCACACCTGGCTAATTTTTAAATATTTTGTAGATGGGAATCTCACTATGTTGTCCAGGCTGGTCTTGAACTCCTGGGCTCAAGGGATCCTCCTGCCTCAGCCTCCCAATGTGTTGGGATTACAGGTGTCAGCCACTGTACCTGGCCTTACTTGTCTTTTTTATCATAGCTATCCTAGTGGGTATGAGTGTAAAGTGTTATCTCATTCTGATTTTGATTTGCATTTCCCTAATGGCCAATAATGTTGAACATCTTCACGTGCTTATTGGTCATTTGTCTATCTTCTTTGGAAAAATGTCTATTCAGAGCCTTAGCCTTCGTCCTTTTTTTTTTTTTTTTTGAGACAGAGTCTTGCTGTGTTGCCCAGGCTAGAGTGCAGCAGCCTAGTTCCAGCTTACTGCAACCTCCACCTCCCATGTCCAAACAGTTCTCCTGCCTCAGCCTCCCTAGTAGCTGGGATTACATACAGGTGCACACCACTATGCCTGTCTAATTTTTGTATTTTTAGTAGAGATGCAGTTTTACCATGTGGACCAGGCTGGTCTCAAACTCTTGACCTCAGGTGATCTGCCCACCTCAGCCTCCCAAAGTGCTGGGATTATAAGGTATAAGTCACCACACCTGGCCCTGTTTTTTGTTTTTATTTTTATTTTTTTTCAGACAGGGTCTTTACTCTGTCCACAGGCTGGACTGCAGTGGCATGAACGTGGCTCACTATAGCCTTGACCTCCTGGGCTCAGGTAATCCTCCCACTTCAGCCTCCCGAAGTGCTGGGATTACAGGCATGAGTCACAGCACCCAGCCTCCCTTTGTCCATTTATATTGGGTTGTCTTTTTATTGTTGCATGGTAAATGTTCTTTATAAATTCTAGATACATGTCCCAAATCATATATATGATTTGCAAAATTTTTCTCCCATTATGTGGATTGCATTTTCACCTTTTTGTCTTTTGAAGCACGAAAGTTTTAAATTTTTGTAAAAGTTCCATTTATTGGCCGGGTGTAGTGGCTCATACCTGTAATCCTAGCACTTTGGGAGGCCGAGGCGGGCGGATCACGAGATCAGGGGCTTGAGACCAGCCTGGCCAACAAGATGAAACCCCATCTCTACTAAAGATACAAAAAATTAGCTGGGCGTGGTGGCGCATGCCTATAATCCCAGCACTTTGGGAGGCCGAGGTGGGCAGATCACCCGAGGTCGGGAGTTCAAGGCCAGCCTGACCAACATGGAAAAACCCTGTCTCTACTAAAAAAACAAAATTAGCCGGGCATGGTGGCACACGCCTGTAATCCCAGCTACTCGGGAGGCTGAGGCAAGAGAACTGCTTGAACCCGGGAGGTGGAGGGTTGCAGTGAGCCAAGATCGCACCATTCCACTCCAGCCTAGTCGACAGGGTGAGACTCTGTCTCAAAAAAAAATAAATAAATAAAAATAAAGACTACAGATAGGGTGCAGTGTATACTGCTCAGGGGATGGGTGGACCAAAATCTTACAATTCACCACTAAAGAAACTACTCATGCAGGGCAAGGTGGCTCATGCCTGTAATCCCAGCTCTTTGGGATGCCAAGGGGGGTGGATCACTTGAGGTCAGGAGTTTGAGATCACCTTGGCTAACATGATGAAACCCTGTTTCTACTAAAAATACAAAAATTATCTGGGCATGGTGGTGCATGCCTGTAATCCCAGGTACTCGGAAGGCTGAGGCAGGAGAATTGCTTGAACCTGGGAGATGGAGGTTGCAGCGAGCAGAGATTGCACCACTACATGCCAGCCTGGGCAACAGAGCAAGACTCCGTCTCAAAAAAAAAAAAAATTTACTAATGTAACCAAAAAAAAACAAAAAACAAAAAACAAAAAATCAAAAACCAAAAAACAAAAAAACCTTAGTCATGTAGCCAAATACCACCTGTACCCCAACACTAACCTATGGAAAAGTAAATAAATAAAAAGGTTTGAAATCAGGAAGTGTGAGTCCTCCAACTTTGCTCTTTTTCAAAATTCTTTGAGTATTGAGTGCCCCTTTTATAAGTGGTTTCCTCATCTGAAAAATGGGAGAATTTCTCTTGGAAATATCTATGATGGCAGGAAAATACAGCAGAGAAAGGTAAGTGACGTATCATCTATACGTCTGGAGGCTGTCAGGGAAAGCTTGTTCACATCACACCCCACCTTGGCCCTGCACCTACCAGAAATCAGCTGGATGAGTCACAGTGAGATTTTCCACCCCTGCTCACCACCTCGTACACAGGATGGACTCTGTCTGAGCCTATACTTTGCCTGTTGGCTCGAATTGGATTTGTTTGGTATACAGGGTAGTTAAACTGGGAATAGATGGCAGGTCCAATTATTCTCAGCAGCAGAGGTTTAGGAATGCATATCAGGAATGTCCAGCCATGTGGTTAGGGTTTGAGAATAACGCAAGGGGCTGGCTGACCTCCAACTACTAGACAGTGTCATTTCCCCCAGCTTGTCACTGGTTCAGTGGCCCCCATTACACAATGAGGATAACAATCGTTGCCTTGCCAACCTCACAGCGATTATTGTGCCAGGCTACTGTCTCCCAGAAAGCCTTCCCTGACTGTCCCCAGACTGTGTGGGGTTTCTTCTCTTTGCTCCCACAGCCCCTATGAATTTGTTTCATTATAGTATCTTTCATTCTGCGTTGCCAAACACCGCTTTTCTCTCTGTCTCCTCCAGTCTGTGAGCTCCAGGATGGTAGGAGCTGGATTGGCTGCATCTCAGTGACCCCAGTACTCAGCATCTGGCATAGAGTATGGGCTCGATGCCTGTTTTTGTTAGACTGAACAGAACTGACAGTGCTCTGAATGGCTGCTTGTGGGGGCTCATACCTGTAATCCCGGCACTTTGGGAGGCCAAGGTGGGTGGATCACTTGAGGTCAGGAGTTTTAGACCAGCCTGGCTAACATGGTGAAACCCCGTCTCTACTAAAAATACAAAAATTAGCCAGGCATGGTGGCGCATGCGTGTAGTCCCAGCTACTTGGGAGGCTGAGGCATGAGAATCGCTTGAACGTGGGAGGCAGAGGTTGCAGTGAGCTGAGATCGATCGTACCACTGCACTCCAGCCTGGGTGATAGAATGAGATTTAGTCTCAAAAAAAAAAAAAAAAAAGGAAAATAAGGCCAGGTATGGTGGCTCATGCCTGTAATCCTAGCACTTTGGAAGGCTGAGGCAGGAGGATCTCTTGAAGACAGGAATTCAAGACCAGCCTGGGCAACACAGCAAGACCCCTGTCTCTACAAAAAGTAAGAAAATTAGCAGGGTAGGGTGGTATGCGCCTGTAGGCCCAGCTACTCAAAAGGCTGAGGTAGGAGGATCCCTTGAGCCTGGGAGTTTGAGGCTACAATGAACGATGATTGCACTGTTGCATTCCAGTGTGGGGTGACAGAGAGAGAGATTGAGAGAGAGAAAGAGAGAGAGACCCTATCTCAAAAAAAAGGAAAATAACCAATATTTGCAAAAATGTGAAGAAATTGAAACCCTTGTGAATGTAAATGGTGCTGCTGCTGTGGAAGACAGTTTGGAGGCTCCTCAAAAAGCTGAACAAGGCCGGAAATGGTGGTTCACACCTGTAGTCCCAGCTACTTGGGAGGCTGAGTTGGGAGGATCACTTGAGCCTGGGAGGTTGAGGCTGCAGTTCCAGCCTGGGCAACAGAATGAGATGCTGCTTCAAACAAAACAAAACAAAAGTGCTAAACATAGCATTATCCTATAACTCAGCAGTTTCACTCCTACGTATACATTCAAGAAAATGGAAAACAGGACTTGAACCAAGTGTTCGAACACCAATGCTCATAGAAGCCTGATTCCCAATGCCAAAAGGTGATAACATCTCAATTTTGACAGATGAATGGATAAACAAAATATGGTATATACATGCAATGGAATATTATTAAAAGGAATGAAATTCTGATCCATGCTACATGAATGAACCTTGAAAACTTGATGCTAAGTGAAATAAGAGACACAAAAGCCCAATATTGTATGATTCCACTTATAAGAGGTATCTAGAAAGGCAAATTCATAGAGACAGAAAGTAGAACAGAGGTTACTAAGGGATGGAGCAGGAGGAAATGGGAAGTTATTGCTAATGGGTATGGAGTTTCTGTTTGGGATGACGAAAAGTTCTGGAAAGCATGGTATAGTTGCACACTATTGTGAATGTACTTAATTTCACAGCGCTACACACTTAAAATGGTAAATTTTATGTTATGCATATTTTACAATAAAGATGTAAGTGATTAGATCAATCCTATAATAAAGAGCTTATAAAAAATGAGTAAAAATGGCCAGGTGCGGTGGCTCCCGCCTGTAATCCCAGCACTAGGGAGGCCAAATTGGGCGGATCACTTGAGGTCAGGAGTTCAAGACCAGCCTGGCCAACCTGGTGAAACCCCCATCTCTAACAACAACAAAAAAAATACAAAAACTAGCCAGGCGTGGTGGCGGGCGCCTGTAATCCCAGCTACTCGGGAGGCTGAAGCAGGAGAATCGCTTGAACCCGGGAGGTGGAGGTTGCAGTGAGCCGAGATTGCACCACTGCACTCCAGCCTGGGCGATAGAGTGAGACTTCGTCTGGGGAAAAAAAAAAAAAAAGTAAAAAGGAGGAGAGAGAGTGAGAGAGAAAAGGAAAGAAGGGGTGGGGAAAGTTTGGGGTATTCAGTGAGTCAGAGATTTGGGATCAGCTGCACCCTACACAGGGGCTGGTACATTGTAGGCCCTCAACTGGAGGAATGAATGAGAGAATGGTGGGAAAGGAGGGATTTTGAGAATTTGGCTATGGTAGGCATTGTATCTCCTAGAATATTCTGGGATAAATCTAAGACTAGAATTCTTCTTCTTCTTCTTCTTCTTCTTTTTTTTTTTTTTTGAGACAGAGTCCTGCTCTGTCGCTCAGGCTGAGGTGCAGTGGCACAATTTCAGCTCACCACAACTTCCGCATCCCGGGTTCATGCTGTTCTAGTGCCTCAGCCTCCCAAGTAGCTAGGACTACAGACATACGCCACCAAGCCCGGCTAATTTTTGTATTTTTAGTAGAGACGGGGTTTCACCATGTTGGCCACGCTTGTCTCGAACTCCTGACCTCAGGTGATCCGCCCGCCTCAGCCTCCCAAAGTGCTGGGATTACAGGCGTGAGCCACTGCGCCCGGCCTGGAATTCTTCGTAAATTACTTGCGTTACCAAACTTTACTTCTTTGAATACAACTCGTTGTTGAGGTTTGGCCACACGGGGCTCTGAACACATAAGTGGGTTCCCATAGGGGAAGCATGGAGGGTGGTAAGGTAAGGGCATCCCCTTACTCTGGTGGGTCGGGGGGCCAGCTGACCCTTAGTCAGGAGAGGGAAGGATATTCAGGCAGAGGAGGCGCGGCAGCAAAGGCTGGAGGACAGAGATGCTGCAGTGTGGGCTACGGCTTTGCCTCTCGGCCAACTGGGCCCCAGGCCTAAGAACTGAAGCGATGGGGATGATCCACACCCAGACCATGGGATATGGAGGGGTCCATCTATGGCCGGCGCCGGTCTCTTTCTCTGCGTCCGACGGTGTCCCGAGGGAGAGAGAAGCGTCTGGAGGGAGAGAGAAGCCTCCGAAGGTCTCCCGCCGCGTGTCTTGAGCGGGGTTTCCAGCAGAGGGCGCACAAACGAGGCCGTGCTGAGGCCCGCGAGCTGCCGCTCTAGCCGAAATCTGGTCACAGAGTCGCACCGCTTCCGTCCGTCGGACAGAGGAACGGTGGAAGGAGCCGGAAGTCCGGTGGGCTCCAGGCGTCGCGATGGAGGAGAGTGGGTACGAGTCGGTGCTCTGTGTCAAGCCTGACGTCCACGTCTACCGCATCCCTCCGCGGGCTACCAACCGTGGCTACAGGTGATTTCCCGCCGCCAGACTAGGCTAGCTCCGATTTAACTCTTTCTCCGCCACCCGGACACACCCACTGCGGGAACCGAGGACAGCCCTGGGCAGTTTTGGGGCGAGGGGGAGCTAATGCTGCTGCTTCTTCCAGTTCCAGGCCCGAGCAGGGAGGCGGACCCAGAGTTTCGCCCGTCTCAGTACGACGCGCGGAACTCCTGGCGGCAGGGAGGGCGTTAAAGCCGTATCTAGCGCTTAGGGACCCCGGTGGGCTGCCGGGTACCCTAAACTTGGTCGGGGGTGGTGATGTTACAGACGCTTCTCTTTCAGCGCTAACCGGTGGCCTTGAAGGGATCCTCGAAAAGCCTTAAGCGGGGAGGTCCCCTATCACAGACGGAAATACCCGAGAGGAGGGGAGGGAGCCCAGAGCCGGCTGAAAGGACCGGTCCCGGGGAGCTTTAAGCTGACGGTCAAAGCCTGGGGATCCCTTCCTACCCAGATCCCTTCGCACGAATTTCACCCTTGATCACAGCCTGGAGCAGTTGGGAGGACCCCATCTACATTTCTCTGATCTCTACCTGAGACGAATAAACACACACGCTTGTAAACATACAGAGTATCTCTGCAAGGGAACACAGGAAACTGCCCTAGGGGAGGGGAACCGCCCTTGGAAGGAGACTTCCTTTCCCTTTTGTACTGTTTGCATTTTACTACCCTTTGTATGTGTTATCTATCAAAACAAGACGAAAAATATTAAACGAAGCAACGATACACTTCATACAGTCACCCTGGCCTATGGCTATTTTGTGCCACTGAGTGGTGGTGAGGAGTGTTCATATTTGCGGGGGCCGGGGTGGCTATTGAAGGCGATGGTTGTCCAAGTTTTTCGGAAATACGGGATTGGCCTGCACCCCAAGAATGATGGAGCTTCCACATATCCTCTTGTTACTTTCCATTGTGTTACCGTGGGCTCATAGCTGATTTTATGTTGGAAAGATGTATTAGTGAACATTACATTCATGACATTTTAAAATAGTGTTAAAAACAACAGTAACCAAAATACATTTGTTTTCTGTCATCAAACTGTAGTTGGACCATCAAACCATTGATGGTCGTCTAGCCCTATCCTCTGTTGGGTCTTCTTTTTTTTTTTTTTTTTTGAGACAGAGTTTCCCTCTTGTCCAGGCTAAGAGTGTAATGGCGCGCGATCTCGGCTCACTGCAACCTCCGCCTCCCGAATTCAAGCGATTTTCCTGCCTCAGCCTCCAGAGTAGCTGGGATTACAGCCATACACCACCACTACCGACTAATTTTGTGTTTTTAGTAGAGACGAGGTTTCTGCATGTTAGTCAGGCTGGTCTCGAACTCCCAACCTCAAGTGATCCTGATCCACTCGCCTCGGGCCTCCCAAAGTGCTTGGATTACAGGCATGAGCCACCACGCCCGGCCCCCTATTGGGTCTTTAGTAGGATGGGTTTGGTTCCTCTTGGTGCCCCAGAGAGTGAGGTTATGGATTGTCAGGGCTGGCTGGTTTAGCTTAGAGGAAACTACCAGTGCCTGCAATTAAGTCTTGGAGCTCTCAGCCTGAATCTCAGGCCTAGTAAGAGGAACTGGAACTGAGTCTGCTGATTTGTGAGTTGACAATCTGCATTTGTGCAGCCCTCAAGATAGCCGCGTCCAGGGTTCTTGAGAACTGGCACAGGGACTTCCAAGAAAAGCCTCCTGGAAACACCTGCGGTTCTTGCTATTTGGGGATTTTACTGACCTTTTCTTAGAACTAAAATGTGAAGTTAATGCTTTAAAAGAGTCAAAACAGCTGGCTGTGGTGGCTCACGCCTGTAATCCCAACACTTTGGGATGCCTAGGTGGAAGGATCTCTTCAGCCTAAGACCTCAGGACCAGCCTGGACAACATAGTGAGAGCCTATCTCTATAATTTTTTTTTTTTTTTTTTATTAGCCTGGTGTGTTGGTACACACCTGTAGTCCCAGCTCCTCAGGAGGCTGAGGTGGAAGGATCTCTTGGGCTCGGGAGGTTGAGGCTTCAGTGAGCTGTGATTGCACCACTGCGCTTCAGCCTGGGTGACAGAGTGAGACCCCATTTCAAACAAACCAGAGCCAAAAGAGGCATTGCTGTAAGTTCATGGTTTCCTGGGTTTCTTCCTAAGCTCCCATTCACTTTTCTGTTCTCCTTTTCTCTTCTGGTGATTGCTCCATGCTGACTTTTTCTTTCGAGATAGTCTCACTTTTCTCAAATGGTCACTCAGATCACTGCAGTCAAGCAATGTCAGAAACAGAATCAGGCCCCTGCAACTGCTGCTTCTATAGAAAGGAAACTGGAAGGAAGCCCTACTCGGAGGAGGACACTGTGGTCTAGAGAGGGGGTCACCAAGTGACAACCCACTGTATTTTTGTATGGTTCACACCTAAGAATGGTTTTTACATTTTTTAAATAGTTGGGAAAATTTTTAAAGGAGAGTATTTCATACTGGGAACATTATATGAATTTCAGATTTCAATGTCTACACTTCGATTGAAATACAGCTGTGCTCAGTAGAAAATAGTTGATACCTAAAGCATCACCACGTGCGTGTTCTGTACTGCTTTTACTCTACAGCAGCAGAGCGGCCTTGTTGTGACAGGCTGTGTGCCCTGCAAAGCCAAAGATATTTACTGTCTTACTCTTGACAGAAAATATTTGCCAACTCTTGGGCTAGAATAAGCAGCCCTTTCCATCCCCAGCATTGGGGTCACGCAGCAGGAGCCTCTGGCAGAGGTTCAGTGGTGTTTGTCCCCTTAGGGCCGCGGAGTGGCAGCTGGACCAGCCATCATGGAGTGGCCGGCTGAGGATCACTGCAAAGGGGCAGATGGCCTACATCAAGCTGGAGGACAGGACCTCAGGTAACCACAAGGGAGGCTGCACCTAGCTGAGGGGCTGCGCTCCCACTTTATGAAGGGAGAGGTGGTCTGGTCTGGCCAGGCTGCTCAGGGATCATGGGAACCTGTCCTGAAAATCAGAGACATGTGTGTACCTTTAAGCTGTACCTTTCCCCCACCTTAGTTGTAGAAAGTACTGTCTCCAGGTGTAAAAACAAGTATTTCATGTCAAACACCAGTTCCTTTTAGGAGTCCTCAGGAAAATGTGGAGGCCAAGGAGAGGAGACCACAGCTTGGTCCTGGTAGGAAGTAGGAAGCCCTGGAAGTGGCCTTGAAGACAGGCGGGTGAGGATGCACAGCTCTCTGCTGCTGGGCTCTGCTTCCTACTGAGGAATTGTTTATCAACGCAGCGGTAACTCCCAGAGCTGACCACACCCATTAACTGAAGAAGCTGGAAACTGTCTTACTCAGCTCTTTCTGTAGTGAGAGGACAAGCCGAGCTGGGTTGTGTTGGGGTCAGGTGGCAGAGATCGTCTTGGGGGAAACTTCAGAAGTGCTGGGCCACCAGTGCATCTGGGTGAGCTGTGGAGGGCAGTGTGCCTGAAATCCCCCTGCTGAGACCCCGAGTGGGGTCGGACACAGTGCCTGCTCAGTCAGGTGCCACAACATTCGGTCATTTATTTTGTGTAATGTGTAGAGATTTTCCTTTGTAGAGCAGAAGAAAGTGCAAAAGTTCAGAGACAGAACTGGCTGCCTCTTCTCAGAACTATGTTCTGCCTGAGCTGCTGGACGTGGGGTGAGCCACATGACCTCTGGAGCCTTGGCCTCCTCCTTGTTGAAATGCGGATCATATTAGTTCCTCCTTCATAAGACTGTTGGAGGATAGGAAGTGAGCGGATATTTCTCTAATTGCTTTATGACTGCGAGGCAACCCAAAGCGTTGATTTGTTCTTTGGGAACTTGGGTATTGGCGGCAGAGGAGTTTGAAGAGGCAGCTGCCATGGCCAGGCCAGAGAATTTTAGCTGGAGAATTGCTGTGACATCCCAGGTAGTGTCATAAGAGAATGGTACCACCTGTTGTTCTCTGGGGAATTTGGTAACTGTGACTTTATTTATTTGAAAAAAATTTTTTTTTTTAGATGGAGTCTTGCTTGGTCATCCAGGCTGGAGTGCAGTGGCACGATCTCGGCTCACTGCAACCTCCGCCTCACGGGTTCAAGCAGTTCTCTGCCTCAGCCTCCCGAGTAGCTGGGATTACAGGCACCCACCACCACGCCCAGCTAATTTTTTTGTGTGTGTTTTTAGTAGAGACGGAGTTTCACCATATTGGCCAGGCTGTTCTTGAACTCCTGACCTCGTGATGCGCCCGCCTTGGCCTCCCAAAGTGTTGGAATTACAGGTGTGAGCCACTGTGCCCCGGCCAGCTGTGACTTTAACATGACTCCCTAATGTAACAGCCACTGCCTAGGGCTGAGCCTCCCCTGTGGGACCCACCCCAAGGTGCTCTTAGCTCAAGGTCATGGCTGGGTCATGTTAGTCTCTAACTTTCCCATGAGGTGATGAGCATATCACTCTAGGCCAGGCTTTCTCAGCTTCAGCACTGTTGACACTTGGGACCAGATGAGTCTTTGTTTTGGGGAGCTGTGGAGCCCAATGAGGATATTTTACAGCATTCTTGGCCTCTGTCTAGCAGATGTCAGTAGCACCCCCCAAGTTGTGACGATCAAAATTATCTCTAGACATTGCCAGATGTCTCTTGGGGACAGGGGAGCAAAATCACCCCGATTGAGAATTACTGCTCTAGGCTGAAGGCATCTTGGTAAGGTTGGAACAGAAGGCAGATAAATTGACAAGAAACTGCAGACTCTAGGGCTGTTGGTTTTGAATCAGTTCAGCCTTGATTACAAAATTACCTCTAGCCCCGGCACGTAGCTCATGCCTGTAATCCCCTCACTTTAGGAGGCCAAGACAGGTGGATCGCTTGAGCCCAGGAATTCCAGAGCAGCCTGGGCAATATGACAAAACCTTGTCTCTAATAAAAATGCAAAAATTAGCCAGGTGTAGTGGTGGACACCTGTAATCCCAACTACTTGGGAGGCTAAGGCACAAGAATCACTCGAACCAAGGAGGTAGAGGTTGCAGTGAGCCGAGATTGCACCATTGCACTCTAGCATGGGTGACAGAGCAAGACTGTCTCAAAAAGAAAACAAAAAGAAAATAAAACAGGCCAGGCACGGTGGCTCACCCGCCTGTAATCCCAGCACTTTGGGAGGCCAATGCGGGCAGATCATCTGAGGTCGGGGGTTCGAGACCAGCCTGACCAACACGGAGAAACCTCGTCTGTACTAAAAATACAAAATTAGCCGGGCATGGTGGCGCATGCTTGTAAATACAGCTACTCGGGAGGTTGAGGCAGGAGAATCGCTTGAACCTGGGAGGCAGAGGTTGCAGCGAGGTGAGATTGTGCCATTGCACTCCATCCTGGGCAATAAGAGTGAAACTTTGCCTTGGAAAAAAAAAAACCAACCAACCCAAAAAACAAAGTTCTCTCTAAACCACAGGATTCAATAGAAGATATTTGATTAAATACTTAAAGCACCAGCCAGGTATGGTGACTCATGCTTCTAATCCCAGCACTTTGGGAGGCCAAGGTGGGAGGATGGCTTGAGACCAGGAGTTAGAGACCAGCCTGGGCAACATATGAAGACCCTGTCTCTAACAAAAGAAATTGAGTGGGCATGCTGGCATATGCCTGTATTCCTAGCTACGTGAGAGGCTGAAGCAGGAAGATTACTTGAGCCCAGGAGTTTGAGGCTGCTGTGAGCTATGATGCACTGCACATTGCACTTCAATCTGGGCAACAGAGCCCAGACCCTGTTTCTTTTTTTTTTTTGTCACCTTGGCTGGAGTGCAGTGGCACAATCTCAGCTCACTGCAGCCTCCAACTCCTGGGGTCAGGGATCCTCCTGCCTCAGCCTCCCAGGGAGCTGGAACTAAATGTGCGTGCCACCATGCCTGGCTTATTTTTATATTTTTTCTAGAGACCAGGTTTCACCATCTTGCTCATGCTAGTCTCAAATTCCTGGGCTCGGCCGGGCGCAGTGGCTCACGCCTGTAATCCCAGCACTTTGGGAGGCCGAGGTGGGTGGATCACCTGAGGTCAGGAGTTCAAGACCAGCCTGGCCAACATGATGAAACACTGTCTCTACAAAAAATACAAAAATTAGCTGGGTGTGGAGGTGCATGCCTGTAATTCCAGCTGCTTGGGAGGCTGAGGCAGGAGAATCACTTGAACCTGGGAGGTGGAGGTTGCAGTGAGCCGAGATCGCGCTGCTGCACTCCAGCCTGGGCGACAGAGGGAGACTCTATCTCAGGCAAAAAAAAAAAAAAAAAGGGTATAAATCAAATTCCTGGGCTCAAGCAATGCACCCCACCTCAGCCTCCCAAAGTGCTGGGACCACACCCAGTCCATGACCCTGTTTCTAAAAAAACAAAACAAAAAATACTAAAAGCAACAACAGACGTCAGCACATACGAAAAACTGATGCCAGTCATAAATGCTCGTGGAAATTTTATGTTGCGCTGCACCTGTCGAGTGCTGTAGTTGACAAGGTGATGTGTTTCACAAGGGCTCCTTTTAAAGCTAGTCATGCTTGCCCTGTCTCAGATTGAATTAAATCAGCCTGCTTCAGATTCCCTATGGGTGTGAAAACCTCCTCCCTTATTTCCTCGGGGCTTACTGGCTCCTCTTATAGTCCTGCCTCAGGTACTGGGCCTCTTCAGCAGGTGTGATTACCTAGGTCAGGGCTCACCTGTTCTAGGACACTCGGGGTTCAGGTAATATAAGTGGGTAAAGCAGATGGAATGGATGGGCTAGCAGCTCCAGCTGCTCAGGTTGGCTTGGACGCTCAGCCTTAATAGAGCTTAATTTTAAGAGAGACCAGGCAGAATACTAAACTGGGCTAGATTTGACCTGTAAGCTATCTCTGACTTAAGCCTTTCCTTAGTTATATTTTCTGTGTCTTCCTTTTAGCAAGAATGGATTTGATTTGAATTCCAGAGTAAGATTTGCCGATCTGTCCCAGCTGGCTAGAGATACCTTGCGGGAAAAAGGCCCAGTAGTCTGGTAGAAACACCTGGCTGGAAGGGGGCTCAGGGCTCAGCGCTCAACTTAATCTGTGCTTTCAGGGGAGCTGTTTGCTCAGGCCCCGGTGGATCAGTTTCCCGGCACAGCTGTGGAGAGTGTGACGGACTCCAGCAGGTACTTCGTGATCCGCATCGAAGATGGAAATGGTAGGCATGGGTCCTGGTGCTTCCTCCTCTTGGGAAAGGTTTTCTCAGCCTGTGGAAGGTGGGATTGATCATGTGTTGTCCCCCAGGGCGACGGGCGTTTATTGGAATTGGCTTCGGGGACCGAGGTGATGCCTTTGACTTCAATGTTGCATTGCAGGACCATTTCAAGTGAGTGGTTCTGGGAGACACATGCTCATGCCCCTCCCTTCTTTCCCTGGACAGAATGATCTCCCAGGTTAGGATACCCAAGTGGTTGTGTGTGATTTGTCTGGCAACGGAGACTCAGGAGAACCCAGGGCAAGCCACCTGTCTGCTCTGCCAATGTTCATCTCTGCTGTAAAGCCTTGTCCTTTACCCGAGGCCCATCTCTACCATCCCAGCCTTCGGGCCTGCCACCTGTCTTCCCTTACCAGGCCCCTGAGCAGTCAGAGTCCTCATCAGCCTCCTGTGGCCTTTCTGGGCCTGCTCCTCCATGTCATCAGTGGCGCTTGGATTCCTAGGGCACCCAGCAGATGCTCTGATGTCCTTTTCTGAAGCTAAGAGATAGGGCAGGAAGTCCTCCTCCACCATCTGCAGGGCTTGAACTCAGGCTGCCAGTGAGTGGGCTGTGCCCGGCCACTCATGTGGACGCTTCTGGCTCTTCCCTGACCTGGTGCTGCTGTGTGGTGTGGTATGGAGGGTGGGGGAGCTTTGTGTTGCCCTCTACTGGGTATCTGTCTTGTCTCCCTGTCTACCTTCTGAGTGTTTGAGGATGTGTAGAGACCGCATCTTAGTTCTTGTGCCACATGCTGTAGAGGGAAGGGCAGGCTCTCACATGTGTCCTAGAGACAGTGTTAGGACCCTCTACATGAGTGATCTCACTGAACTCGTAGCCATCTTGAAGACCTATAGAATTGTGGGCATATTTTGCTGACAAGGAAACCAATGTGCATGCAGCTACTTAAGTGTCAGAGCAGGATTTGAATTCAGGCCTCCCAAGCCTGCACTCTTTTTGCCACCCCGTCTTACTACGAGGCTCAGCCTGGACTGATGGCAGGCAGTAGTGAAGTGAGCTAGTGATTGCAGGGCAGCTGGTCTCTTTCTTCCTCACCTTTTTCCTCATGTTCTCTCCCCAGGTGGGTGAAACAGCAGTGTGAATTTGCAAAACAAGCCCAGAACCCAGACCAAGGCCCTAAATTGGACCTGGGCTTCAAGGAGGGCCAGACCATCAAGCTTAACATCGCAGTGAGTTCCACCCTTGCTTGACTGTGGTGGCCATGGTCATGTGATACTTGTGGCCACCCAGAGCCCATCGCTCTTCTTATGGTTCAGCTCCTTCAGTTCAGCAGATGTTTAGTGAGCATCTGCCTTGTGCCAGGTCCTGCACCAGGGGTGAACGAGAGACCTCTATTCTTGTGGAACTCAGAGTTAAACTGAGACAGGCAGGTAAAAATGTAATTACAACATGGCAGGAAAGGTTCCATAACTAAGGGATGCCCTGGGTGCCGTGGGCCCCTAGAGGAAGGGCATGCAGCCCATAGAGTTGGGAACCAAGTAAGGCTTACTGGGAGAAGGGACCTGTAGGCAAGGGAAGAGTGATCAAAGAGGACCAGCAGGTGCAAAGCCTCTGAGCTGAGAAGGAGCATCAGTCATTTGCTGCCGGAAGTGGTGCTTCTGTCCTAGCTATTAGAGTGCATCAGGAGGGACCCATGTGCTCATCCCAGGCTGTGTCTTGTATGAAGAAGATTTGGGAGAGTTCTGGCAGGAAGGCGTTGAGGTGGACACTGGGAGTCCTGGGCAGCTTCTGCTGATAGTGTTGTCCTGGCTCCTGTGTCTTTGTTCTGAGCTGCTCTACCTCTGGCTTCCCCCGGTCAGTTCCTGTTCATAGGAACAGGATGGGCTGGGTTGCCTAAAGTTGACCTTTACCTGGCTGCAAGGGTGGAGAGGGGAGATGAGGTCAGACTTATGATTGGGGGCACCCAAGGACCAAGTGGATTGGTTTTTGTTTTTGCCAGGAATACTGTGTTGAGATGGATTTGTTTTTTGAAGAAGCTTTGTAACGCTAAAATAATGCTTTTCCTCTTTACTTACCATCTCTTTCTCCTCTTTTCTGCTTCGTGCTGGTGATTTGGGATCCTTGAAGTTGGCCAGCTGGCCCTTAAGAGAGAAATGCAAGTCCAATCCAGTGGACTGGTTGGGATGCGATTCTTTCTCTCGCTTGGAGGAAACTAACATTTAATGAGCACCAGCTGTGGGCCAGGTAGTGTTTTTAGGCGTTTCTCATGTGAATTAAACATCTCCCTTTCCTCTGTGAGATGAGGAAATGGAGGCTTAGGGATGGTTGGGGACTTGCCCAGGGTCACAGAGCTACAAATAATTGGCACATCTGTACTCACACTGAGGTCTTTGAGGTCTTTTGACTTCAGGGCTGGACTTACTATTCTATTAAGCTGCTGCTTTCCTTACAAGTAGGGAACATATTATCTTCATCTGTGTGACTTGTGCTGGTTTCTGGCTCATGCTTGGTGCTCAGTTTTTTTTTAAGCATTTTCTTGAAGTATAATATGCATGTAAAAAAGTGTACAAATCATAAGTGCAGAACTTAGTGAAATTTTAAAAACCTAATTTATAGGCCAGGAGTGGTGGCTCCTGCTTGTAATCCCAGCACTTTGGGAGGCCGAGGCGGGTGGATCACCTGAGGTCGGGAGTTCAAGACAACCCTTACCAACATGGAGAAACCCCGTCTCTACTAAAAATACAAAATTAGCCGGGCGTGGTGGTGCGCGCCTGTAATCCCAGCTACTCGGGAGGCTGAGGCAGGAGAATTGCTTGAACCCGGGAGGCGGAGGTTGTAGTGAGCCAAGATCAAGCCATTGTACTCCAGCCTGGGCAACAAAAGCAAAACTCTGGATCAAAAAAACAAAACAAAACAACCCAATTTATAAACTTGCACCTCGCTCAAGATGCAAAAGATAGTCAGCACTCTGGAAACACCTCTCCTGGCCCCTCCCAGTAACTACCCTGAGTAACCCTATACTGACTTCACATACTGTAGGTTTCATTTGTTCTTAACTTTCATAAGTTGAATCATACACCTAATCCTGTTTTGGGATGATTTCTTTCTCTTACTCAATGTAATTTTTGTAAGAGTCATCCATGGTGTTGTGTGTAGTTTGTTCATTCTCACTGTTGTGGCATGTACCATTGTGAGAATTCATCCAATTTATTTATGTTTTACTGATGATGGACATTTGGGTAGTTTCCAGTTTGGGGCGATTACAAATAGTGCTGTTGTAGATGTTTGAGTTCATGTCTTTTGGTGCATATATGTATGATTTCTGTTGGTTTATATCTAGGAGTGGAATTGCGGAGTCATAAGTTTAAGTTCCTATGTTGAGCTTTATAGATCCTTTCAAGTAATTTTTCAAAGTAGTTTTACCAGTTTACACTTCGATCAGCAGCACATGAATGGTTACTCCATGTCATAGTCAATACTTGATAATCTACATTTTAGCCATTCTGGTGAGTGTGTAATGGTTTATCATTATAGCTTTGATCTGCATTTCCCTGATGAATGAAGTGGGGTGCTGGGTTTTAAAATGGACCTTATTTGTGATAGATTCAGAATGATGATGCACTAAGTGTAGCTCATAACCATGCTAGGTAGGACCATCTTTTGGTTAGACAGATGTTAGGGCTCTGGGGTCACCTTGGCCCTCCTCGTGGGGTTTTCTGGTAGCACTGGGACTGCAGCAGAACTGGCTGATTTGCATTCCTCTTCCCTGTTTAGAACATGAAGAAGAAGGAAGGAGCAGCCGGGAATCCCCGAGCCCGGCCTGCCAGCACAGGAGGGCTGAGCCTGCTTCCCCCTCCCCCAGGGGGCAAAACCTCCACCCTGATCCCTCCCCCTGGGGAGCAGTTGGCTGTAGGGGGATCCCTCACCCAGCCAGCAGTTGCTCCCAGTTCAGGTTAGTGCTCAGTGGGCGACTGCTGGATCGGTACCTGTGTGCTCCTCTTCTCACTGGCAGCTGGGCCCCATGGTTTTCCCCCCGTCACACACGTGGATTGGTAATGTAGTACCTGTCCATGTCAAAGAAGAAAGGCGGGCACCCAAAGCTGATTCTGCACACGCTGGTAAGGGGCTCCTTCTAGTTGGCCTTTATGGCGTCTGCCTTCCCCTGAGAGGCCGGGGCTGGGATTTGTTTGTTACTGTGAAATCATCAACATGTCAGTTCCTGGTTCCCAGTGTGTGCTCAGTGGGTACTGAGTGAGTGGGTAATGGAGACACTGTCTCTGCTCACGTGTAGTGTGAGAGATGAGTCACAGCACAGAGACCAAATGTGTAGGCCTAGACCCACCATCAGCTAGTGTGATCTGGGGAGGTTTCATGAAAGAGGTGACATTGATCTGGACCTTGAAGGAGGCAGATAGAGTGGGAGTGGTTGGCATTCCAGGCAGAGAGAACATGAATGAGGCCAAGACTTTTAGACACCTGGTGTATTTAGGGAGATGGGTACAGCATAAGGTATGCCAAGGTGAGTGGTGGGAAATGAAATTTCGTTTGGAGTGAGCACCTCGGGTGTGGAAAGCTGAGAGCATTTGCCCCGGCAGCTTGTGCTGAGGAGCCCTTCGGAGACCCTGGGATTCTGGAAGTGAGTGTCTAGTGTCAGCCTCTGACCACGCTGGGGTGCCAGCCCTGTGCCTCTACCTCCCCACCCTGCCCAGCCCAGCTTGATGCTCCTGGCCTTCCCCAGGCTGGGCGATTGTTACCAGCCTGCCTTCTGCCCACAGCTCTCTCCAGCTTGCAGGCAGGAAGCCTTCCTGCTGTGCTGATTCCTAAGCATCCCCAACATCAGCTGCCCTATCTGGAGGTCAAGCTTTAGGCTTCAGCCCTGGGGGGAATACTCTAACCTGGAGAGTGGCAGAAGGGGCAGTCAGAGAGCCCGCCTGGTACTGGGAACTGTTCTTATTTTTTTTTTTTTTTTTTTTTTTGAGACTGAGTCTGGCTCTGTTGCCCAGGCTGGAGTGCAGTGGCCGGATCTCAGCTCACTGCAAGCTCCGCCTCCCGGGTTTACGCCATTCTCCTGCCTCAGCCTCCCGAGTAGCTGGGACCACAGGCGCCCGCCACCTCGCCCGGCTAGTTTTTTGTATTTTTTAGTAGAGACGGGGTTTCACTGTGTTAGCCAGGATGGTCTCGATCTCCTGACCTTGTGATCCGCCCGTCTCAGCCTCCCAAAGTGCTGGGATTACAGGCTTGAGCCACCGTGCCCGGCTTGGGAACTGTTCTTTAAGCGTTATTTCTCAGAGTGGGGTCATAGGACCACTTGCCTTGGCATCGCTGGGGGATAGGGGCAGGAATCTGCATTCTTATGTCTATTCTTTTTTTTTTTTTTTTGAGATGGAGTCTTTTTGCTCTTGTTGCCCAGGCTGGAGTGCAATGGCATGATCTCGGCTCACCGCAACCTCTGCCTCCTGGGTTCAGGTGATTCTCCTGCCTCAGCCTCTCGAGTAGCTGGGATTACAGGCATGCGCCTCCACACCCAGCTAATTTTGTATTTTTGGTAGAGACGGGGTTTCTCCATGTTAGTCAGACTGGTCTTGAACTCCCGACCTCAGGTGATCCGCCCGCCTTGGCCTCCCAAAGTGCCAGGATTATAGGCGTGAGCCACTTTGTCCAGGCCTTATGTCTATTCATGTTTGTGTGTTGACTAAAGTCTGAGAGCTACTACCTTAGGCCATCCCTTGGTTGCTGATGGTTATTTATTTATTTATTTATTTGAGATGGAGTCTTGCTCTGTCACCCAGGCTGGAGAGCAGTGGCATGTTCTCGGCTCACCACAACCTCTGACTCCTGGGGTCAAGTGATTCTCCTGCTTCAGCTTCCCGAGTAGCTGAGATTACAGGCATATGCCACCACACCCACCTAAGTTTTATATTTTTAGTAGAGGCAGGGTTTCACCATGTTGGTCAGGATGGCCTCGATCTCCTGACCTTGTGATCTGCCCACCTCAGCCTCCCAAAGTGCTGGGATTACAGGCATGAGCCACCACACCTGGCCTTGCTGATTCATTTTTAACAGCATTTTAATTTTAATATGGTGTGCTTGCTGTGTGCCGGGTAAAGTTCTAGGCAACTGGCAGGTATAGCATCAAGTTTTAGTTCTCAAGGGCTTGTGTTCTGGTGTCTGAGACAGGCAGTTAGCATGTCTACAAACAAAATGGTGTCAGATAATAAGTCATAAATAGCAACATTTATGAAGCACTTACTATATGAGCAATATGGTTGGGTTCAAATTTCAGCTTACCAGCTTTGTGATCTTTATTAATTAATTTATTTTTATTTTTTTATTTTTGAGATGGAGTTTTGCTCTTGTTGCATAGGCTGGAGTGTGACGGCATGATCTCAGCTCACCGCAGCCTCTGCCTCCCAGGTTCAAGTGATTCTCCTGCTTCAGCCTCCTGAGTAGCTGGAATTACAGGCATGTACCACCACGGCTGGCTAATTTTGTGTTTTTAGTAGAGACGGGGTTTCTCCATGTTGGTCAGGCTGGTCTTGAACTCCTGACCTCAGGTGATCCTCCCGCCTTGGCCTCCCAAAGTGCTGCAATTACAGGCATGAGCCACCATGCCTGGCCTACTTATTTATTTTTAAGATGGAGTCTTACTCTGTCGCTCAGTCTGGAGAGCAGTGGCATGATCTCAGCTCACGGCAACCTCCACCTCCTGGGTTCAAGCAATTCTCCTGCCTCAGCCTCCCAAGTAGCTGGCATTACAGCTGTGCACCACCATGCCTGGCTAATTTTTGTATTTTTAGTAGAGACAGGGGTTTCACCATGTTGGCCAGGCTGGTCTCAAACTCCTGACCTCAGGTGATCCACCTGCTTTGGCCACCCAAAGTGCTGGGATTACAGGCTGAGCCACTGTGCCCAGCCCAGTTTTGTGATCTTTAGAAAATCACTTCTCCATGCCTCATTTTTCTCATCTGTAGGATAGGGGAAGTAATGATACTTAAAATACAGGTTTCTTGTGAGGATCAAATAAACTAATCTATGTATAGCACTTAGAACAATTTTTGGAACATTCTAAGTGCTTACTGAATGTTAGCTCTCATTTTATTCATATCGTTATTGCCACTATATGCTGGACCTGTTCTAAGCATTCCATGGGTATTTAATCCTCACACCAGTCCTATGGAGTAGTTCTGTTATTTTCACCATTTTAGAGGTAGGAGAATGGAAACTGAAATGACCTGCACAGTCACATGGCTCGTCCCAATCTCTTTTCCTAGAGGCTGGGGTGAGGTTCACAGAAGATAATGTGCCTTGAGCACTTGGTGAGCATTGAGGGCCCTAGTTTTATCTGTTCTCCTGGCCCAGAGCAGATTAGAAATAGCAAATTAATGTGAAGGCGGAGTGTGGCAAACACAGGCCCTTCAGAAGGGACAGATGGCAGCACTGGGGGAGGTGCCAGAAAAGCACAAGAGCAGGCATTGTAGCCCCATGGTGTCACCCATCTTGGTGGAGAGATAGGAATGCGCTTCTGTGTGAGCTCTTGGGAACGCTCTTCCTGACCCCTAACCAGTTTGGGGCCTGGGACTCGGCACGTGGCTGGCACATAATGTTCTCAGCTAGTTGATCCAGACATGGTAGTGCAGGCTTGATATGAAGATGATCTTGCAGTTTTGTTGGACATTCTCCGTTCAAGAAGCTGAGCCAGGTTATAGTAAATTTTAAATAGATTTCAACATGAACGGTTGATAACAAAGTCAGCTTCAGGTGTGCATGATAGATGACGTGAGACTAACCCCAACTCCGCCGGCACCCCTCCTTCCACCTTGTATGTGGCTTTCCGCTTTTTCTCCAGAGCCCTCAAGGGCTGGTGGGAAGATGCTGGAAGTGTGGCAACCCAGTGGTGTTTTGTTGCCCAAAAACTTGTCTTCGTGTGGCTTTCCCAGCTACCTGGTGTCATGAGACTGTTCACTGAGTCTTATGATTTGGTCGTGGAAACAACCAGAAAGAGAGGTCTCTGACTCCTCTGTCCCCTCTTCTCTTCCTATGGGTCGGACTCGGAACATCAGTAGGAGGTGCTCCTGTACCCTGGCCACAGCCCAAGCCTGCCACCGCTGACATCTGGGGAGACTTTACCAAATCTACAGGGTGAGGAGGGCCATGTTCTGTGGGGGACTGGGGCCAGGGCCATTGCTCTACAAACCTTGTATTGTTCCACATGCCTGCCTTCTGGTGTTAGGATTAGGAGTAACAGTTTTAATTTGGATGTTTTCTTTTCTTTTTTTTTTCCTTTTTTTTTTTTTGAGAGGGAGTTTCGCTCTTGTTGCCCAGGCTGGAGTGCAATGGCATGATCTTGACTCACTGTAAACTCTGCCTTTCAGGTTCAGGCAGTCCGCCTACCTCAGCCTCCCAGAGTGCTGGGATTACAGGCATGAACTACCGTGCCCAGCCCAAAATACAGTAATTATTGATTGCTGAAAATGTCAAATTCTAGAAAACGCAGCATTCTTACATGTAATGTTAACATCGTTCTTAAACAGCTTTTAGCCTAAGATTCATTTGAGGAGTCCGATTTTTCCCACAATAGACAGTTCTGATGATTCAGATGATTCTGGAATAACTCCAAGAACAGTTTTTGTATTTTATATTTTATTTTCACATTGAAAATCAGTCAGATTTGCTTCAGCCTCAAAGAGCGTATTTATGTAAAATTAAATGAGGGCTGGCAGTGAGCTGCGCTCTTTTTTTCTTTTTTTTTTTTTTGAGATGGAGTCTCGCTCTGGCACCCAGGCTGGAGTGCAGTGGCTCTATCTCGGCTCACTGCAAGCTCCGCCTCCCGGGTTCACGCCATTCTCCTGCCTCAGCCTCCCGAGTAGCTGGGACTACAGGCGCCCGCCACCTCGCCCGGCTAGTTTTTTTTCTACTTTTTTAGTAGAGACGGGGTTTCACCGTGTTAGCCAGGATGGTCTCGATCTCCTGACCTCGTGATCCGCCCGTCTCGGCCTCCCAAAGTGCTGGGATTACAGGCTTGAGCCACCGCGCCCGGCCTGCTCTTTTTTTCTAGATGGGAAAGGGGTTAAGCCTCTTTGGCCAGGCGTGTTGGCTCACACCTGTAATCCCAGCACTTTGGGAGGCTGAAGCAGGCAGATCACTAGAGGCCAGAAGTTCGAGACCAGCCTGGGCAACATGGCAAAACCCTGTCTCTACTAAAAGAAATACAAAATTAACCGGTCATGTAGTTCCAGCTACTAGGGAGGCTGAGGTAGGAGGATCGTTTGAGCTCAAGAGGTTGAGGCTGCAGTTAGCCTTGAGTGTGCCACTGCATTGCAGCCTGGGTGACAGTGAGACCCTGTCTCAAAAAAACCAAAACAAAACAAAACCACACACAAAAATGATAAATACAGTTACATTATTTTTAAAAAAAATTGAGGGCCAGATTTGGTCTCTGTGCCAAAGTTTGCTGACTGCTGCTTTAGAACATTTAGGAACTGGCTTCTTAGAGCTTTTTCTGTCCAGAGAGAAACCACCTTTTATCTGCTTTGGATTTTCAAAGATCTGAACTCCCCCACCCTTCCCTGTCTTCTCTTTACAGATCAACTTCCAGCCAGACCCAGCCCGGCACAGGCTGGGTCCAATTCTGACCTGAGCACAATTTTTCCTCATGTGACTTCTGGGAAGGAGCTCCCTCGTCTGGGCCAAAGGAAGGAGGGAGAAGCACTCCTCAGCTGGCCTGTGTTTGGAGCATGAATCTCTCCTCTCCTTGTTTGGCTCTGTTGACAAACTGGGCATGTTGGGCAGTAAATTGGCACCATGTCACGCTGTTTCCTGGGATTCAAGTATGCAACCAGAACACAGGAGAAGAAAAGCTCCAGGATCCTTGTCCCCATCTGTCCTCTTGACATGAGAGAGACTCTTGAGACTTCTTCCATTGCAATGACCCCTATTAAACACAAGCCCCCAAAGCAAAAGAATAGGTTAAGTTTGCTGCCTGGATTCAGACCAGCCCTTCCCAGGGTCTACAGGTGTCATGTGATCACTGTTCAGCGGGAGGCTTTCTGTACCCACACTGGCTGTAGCCACTTCAGTCCATCTGCCCTCCAGAGGAGGGGTTTCTTCCTGATGTTTAGCAGGTTTAGAGGCTGCAGCTTGAGCTCACAATCAGGAGGGAAACTGGAAGGATTAGCAGCTTTTGAAAATGTTTAAATATTTTGCTTTGCTAATGTGCTGATCCGTACTAACTCATCTTTGCAAAGGGAACTGCTCCTTCAGCGTGCCGCAGCAGGGGCCTCTGAAGGGATTCCTCACTGTGTGCAGCTGCCCTGAGCTTGAGGCAGCAGTGTTCATCTCTGGCCAGTTGTCTGGTTCCCATGTATTCTCGGCCAGGTAGGCAACACAGAGCCAGGGCGGGTGCTGGAAGCCAGACGGAACAGTGTTGGGGCAGGAAGGTGGAAGCTGTTGTCATGGGGCTGTGGGAGTCGGCACTCTGTCTGCTGGTGGCGCTCTCGGCTCGCAGGTTCACAGTGCCGCTCCTGGCAGACTTGCGTTTTCTCTTTGGTGGTTTCTAAAGTGCCTTATCTGCAAACAATTTCTTTTCTCCTTCAGGAACTGTGAATGACTAGCAGAAGGAGCTCAGTAAACTAGACGTCCAGGGTTGCTTGGTTTACTGGTTTATAAGAAATCTGAAAGCACCTCTGAAATTCCTTTTATTAACTCACCTCTCAGTTGAAAGATTTCATTTTTGAAGGGTCAAGACCATGAACTGAAAAAAGTGTTGGCCTTTTTGCGGGACCAGATTTTTAAGATAAAATAAATGTTTTTACTTCTGTCATTGTATGTGAAAGATGAATGTGTTTCTGGCCGCGTGGCTGCTATACTCTTCAGGGTGCCACAGCTAGACTCATGGCCACTCTCTCACCACTGACCAAGTGTCCAGATTGAAAGTTCAGGGCTGGGGTATGAGGCTGGCCCAAGTGAGGAAATGCAACCCTGTTGTCTAAGGCAATCGGTACCTTCTCTCCTGTGTTCTCTAGGATAGTACGGTCTTTTCATCATCCTTTGGGTGATGTGAAAGTACTTACTTGAATCACTTTGTGTGGGGCTTAATTCTCCTGTGGAGTCTCATGATACAGGCTGTGCTAGAGAGCCTTGCCCCTTGTTTTCTGTCTTCCACCAAACCTACCCACAGAAGCATCTCCCTAAGAAGTAAAGGGGTGCAGATACCCAGAGGTCAAAAGTAAAATTAAGAGGCCGGGCGCACTGGCTCATGCCTGTAATCCCAGCACTTTGAGAGGCCAAGATAGGAGAATCATTTGAGGCTGGGAGTTTGGGACCAGCCTGGGCAACATAGTAAGACCCATTTCTTTCCTTTCTTTTTTTTTTTTTTTTTGAGACGGAGTCTCGCTCTGTCACCCAGGCTGGAGTGCAGTGGCCGGATCTCAGCTCACTGCAAGCTCCGCCTCCCGGGTTCACGCCATTCTCCTGCCTCAGCCTCCCGAGTAGCTGGGACTACAGGCGCCCGCCACCTCGCCCGGCTAGTTTTTTTTCTACTTTTTTAGTAGAGACGGGGTTTCACCGTGTTAGCCAGGATGGTCTCGATCTCCTGACCTCGTGATCCGCCCGTCTCGGCCTCCCAAAGTGCTGGGATTACAGGCTTGAGCCACCGTGCCCGGCCTTCTTTCCTTTCTTTTCTTTTTTTTTTGAGACACAGTCTCACTCTGTTGCCCTGACTGGAGTGCAGTGGAGCAATCTTGATCACTGCAATCACCGCCTCCCAGGTTCAAGTGATTCTCCTGCCTTAGCCTTTCCAGTATCTGGGATTACAGGCACCTGCTACCACACCTGGCTAATTTTTGTATTTTTTCAGTAGAGATGGGGTTTTACCATGCTGGCCAGGGTGGTCTCGAACTCCTGACCTCAAGTTATCTGCCCACCTTGGCCTCCCAGAGTGTTGGGATTATAGGCGTGAGCCATAGCACCCGGCTGTTAGACCCCATTTCTTAAAAAAAAAAAAAAAAAAAATCAGCTGCATGTGGTGGTGGTACATGCTTATAATCCTAACTACTTGGGAGGCTGAGGCGGGAGAACTGCTTGAGCCCAGGAGTTTGAGGCTGCAGTGAGCTATGATCACGGTGTCGCACTCCAGTCTGGGCAGCACAGTGAGACCCTAGAGAATTCTCTAAAAGAATTACAAATGGAAAAAGAGCCACAACACTTCTTTTGCCTGAGGATTCTGTAAGAAGCAGTTTTTATTGTTACGGAAATAGCCACTCTGATTAAGAAACTATAGAGAGGAGAAAGAAAATGAAAATTGAAGATTCTCTTGCCCATTGAATAAGGGTAAAGGAGATTGCATTAAAGGAACCTCAGGAGTAGTAACTTTTTTTTTTTTTTGAGACGAGTCTTGCTCTGTCCCCCAGGCTGGAGTGTAGTGGCGCGATCTCAGCTCACTGCAACCTCCGCCTCCTGGGTTCACGCCATTCTCCTGCCTCAGCCTGCCATGTAGCTGGGACTACAGGCGCCTGCTACCACACCCGGTACAAGTTTTTTGTATTTTTAGTAGAGACAGGGTTTCACCGTGTTAGCCGGGATGGTCTCGATCTTCTGACCTCGTGATCCACCCGTCTTGGCCTCCCAAAGTGCTGAGATTACAGGCGTGAGCCACCATACCCTGCAGGAGTAGTAACTTTTTTGTGTCGATTTCACATACCATTGCTTCCCATCTAGAGTTACTTTTAAGTACTTGGAGGGTGGAAATCAGAAAGCTTAGATGTAGAGGAAACTTCATTAGGAAGTATGTACCATGGCTGGGCATGGTACCCAGGGATTGCCCACAATCCCAGCACTTTGGGAGGCTGAAGTGGGGCGGCTCATTTGAGGTCAGGATTTCAAGACCAGCCTGGCGAACATGGTGAAACCCCGTCTACTAAAAATACAGAAATTAGCCAGGCGTGGTGGCGCACGCCTGTAATCCCAGCTACTTGAGAAGCTGAGGCATGAGAATTGCCTCCAGGAAGTGGTGGTTGCAGTGAGCTGAGATTGTGCCACTGCACTCCAGCCTGGGCAACAAAGCACGACTGTCTCAAAAAAAAAAAAAAAAAAGTATGTACCATTGAAGATCAGCACTTAGATTGTGGAGACAGACCTGGCCTTAGGATCTAGGCTATCCCCTGGTTAGATGTGCGACCACAGGCTCTTTCTTCACCTGAGCATCACTCAGATGAGGCACTAGCAGATGCTTATTGCATTGTTTGACCTTAATTACCTTTCTCTGTAGTCAGGTAAGTACCCAGAAGAGTTCATCATGGTAGGGAGGAGGAGGTGGCACAGCTGATGACATAGCCCTCAGGAATCTAGCCTGAAAAGCACCCTGTGGGGCTGCAGAAGCAAGGGACAGCTAGCAATTGGAATCCCAGCTGAAAAAACTTGTTACAGGACCCAGAACTTCCAGGAAAACTCAATCCCAAACCAGGCAATTACACCCCTGACAGGAGTTTACAAACTGGTGGGTGGATGGTAGAAGATGGGTGCTTTTTTGGGGGGTATGCTAGACCTCAGTTACCCTCTGCACAATGGGAGAATTTGGATGCACTGGGAGGTGTGGCAGATAGACTCTCAGGTGGTCACCATGATCCCCACCTGCTGTTCACAGCCTTGTGTACTCCCTGCCCCTTGAGATGGCCTAGACCTGTGACTGCTAACCACAGTAGAGTGCCACAAAGGTGACAAGGTGTTATTTTCGTGGTTGCCTTATGTGAGACTGCAACATGTTCCTTACTGAAAAATTCTCTTGCTGGCTTTGAAGAAGGAAGCTATCATGTGTGAGCTGCCCTTGGGAGAGGGTCAGGTGGCCAGGAACTGAGGGCAGCCTCTGGTTGACAGCCAACAAGAAACTGAAGCTCAGTCCAGCAGTCTGCAAAAAACCACACAGACTTGGAGGCTGATCACTCCCAGGTAAACCTTCAGATGAGACCCCAGATGGCTGACCAACACACTGCAGCCTTGCAGAGGACCAGCTAAGCTGTGCCCAGACTCCCGTCCCATAGGAACAGATGGTAAATGGATTGTGTTAAGTCTCTAAGTTTGTGGTAAGGTTGTGCAGCAATAGATAACCAATACAAAGGTGAGCAAAGGGAGTTTGAGGTGGGAATCAGTGTGGAAAAGAGAGAATCTGGATAGACTTAATAGCTGTAGGGCCTTGGGAGGTCCCTTATGATGCTCCTTTGGGCCTTCCTGTCGCCTTTAAGTAATGCTTGTTGTTTATTGCTAAAAATGATGCTTAACTCTCTGCTAGGCACTATTCTATGCACTTATAAAACTCATTGCATCATCTCAACAACCCTATGAGGGAAGGACTTGTTTTTTTGTTTTTTGAGACAGTCTTGCTCTGTTGCCCAGGCTGGAATGCAGTGCCATGATCTCGGCTCACTTCAACCTCTGCCTCGTGCATTCAAGCAGTTCTCCTGCCTCAGCCTCCGAATAGCTGTGGTTACAGATGTGCACCAGCACTTCCAGCTAATTTTTTGGAATTTTAGTAGAGATGGGGTTTCATCATGTTGGTCAGGCTGGTCTCAAATTCCTGACCTCAAGTGATCTGCCTGCCTTGGCCTCCCAAAGTGCTGGGATTACAAGTGTGAGCCACCAACCTGGCCAGTAAGTACTTGTTTTAGTCTATTTGGGACTATGACAGAATAACAGCCTACGTAGTTTATACACAGAAGAAATTTTTTGCTCACAGTTCTGAAGGCTGGGAAGTCTGACGCACCAGCAGATTCGGTATCTGGTAAGGCTGTCTTTTTGCTGTAACCTCACATGGTAGAAGGGGCAATAGAGTACTCTGGGGACTTTTTTTTTTTTTTTTTTTTGAGACGGAGTCTCGCTCTGTTGCCCAGGCTGGAGTGCAGTGGCGTGATCTCGGCTCACTGCAAGCTCCGCCTCCCGGGTTCACGCCATTCTCCTGCCTCAGCCTCCTGAGTAGCTGGGACTACAGGCGCCCACCACCGCGCCCGGCTAATTTTTTGTATTTTTAGTAGAGACGGGGTTTCACCGTGGTCTCGATCTCCTGACCTTGTGATCCGCCCGCTTCAGCCTCCCAAAGTGCTGGGATTGCAGGCGTGAGCCACCACACCCAGCCTTTTTTTTTTTTTTTTTTAAGAGATGGAGTCTTGCTATATTGACCAGGCTGATCTAAAACCCCTGGCCTCCAGGGATCCTCCTGCCTTGGCTGCCCCAAATGCTGGAATTAAAGGCATGAGCCACCACATGGGGATGGCGCTGCCTTTTTTTTTTTCTTTTCTCTTTGCTTTTTTTTTTTTTTTTTTTTTGAGACGGAGTCTTGCTCTGTCACCCAGGAGGCTGGAGTGCAGTGGCCGGATCTCAGCTCACTGCAAGCTCCGCCTCCCGGGTTTACGCCATTCTCCTGCCTCAGCCTCCCGAGTAGCTGGGACTACAGGCGCCCGCCACCTCGCCCGGCTATTTTTTTTGTATTTTTTAGTAGAGACGGGGTTTCACCGTGTTAGCCGGGATCGTCTCTCGATCTCCTGACCTCGTGATCCGCCCGTCTCGGCCTCCCAAAGTGCTGGGATTACAGGCTTGAGCCACCGCGCCCGTCCCTCTTTGCTTTTTTTTAAAGACAGTTTTGCTCTCGTTGCCCAGGCTGGAGTGCAATGGTGTGATCTTGGCCCACTGCAACCTGTGCCTCTTGGGTTCAAGCATTTCTCCTGTCTTAGCCTCCTAAGTAGCTGGGACTACAGGCACACACCACCACACCCAGGTAATTTTTATATTTTTAGTTAAGATGGTGTTTCACCATATTGGCCAGGCTGGTCTCGA